TTACGCCGGATTTGCACATGATAACATGACGTTTTGAAATAATAGGACAGTGTTTTGACAAATCAGCACTACGTTTTGACAAGATAAAATGAATATTTGACATACTAAGACTTCGTTAAGACAGGCTCTCATAAAACGTTGGTAAGCTAACACTTCTGTTATACATAATAAGACGCTTTTAGCGAAACATAAAACGAAATGTAACAACATGAGGCAGCTATGGCGTTCCATAATTTAAGATCAAGATCAGTTGATTAATCTTCATTATTGTATTATTCAGACTGAAGCGCTTCAAAGTAGTCTCTTTTTTGTCGAGTTCATACTGCATGACCATTTTTACACAATAATCGCACGAAACGCCATAATTTTGACGTCAGACGACCTAAATAACCAGACGACGGCATTATAAATATTTTTAAATAAAATTATTGGGGTTCCTATAATCTTATCGATATATCTTTTAGCACGATAAAATGGAAAATCAAAACTTTCGCATTCCAACTTTGGTTTTTGTCATTGGGTTGAAAATGTCATCCCTGTGACATTTTAGTATTTAATACTATTAAACGTAATGGCAATTCTTATGTTTGGTTATTTTGACATTCTAAAACCTGATAGAATATCTCAAAATAATATTGTTCAAACAAATAAAACTTGTGGATAAAAATGCTTGACATAGATAGCTTCTTAAACTCTATCAAGTCTGACGAGATATAAGAAACTTTATTTTGAGTCGGTTTACAAATTAAAAGAAACATTAGCTAATAAGCTATTTACCGACATTAACAGAGACGTACAACATAAACTAATGTGAATAAATTTAAATGATATACATGTAGACTAAGGTAACTTCTAGAGTATATATGCATAACTAAAAATTGTCTAACAGGTTCCAATTAAAGTAGCACATAAAAAGAAACGGCGTGGGAAAAAATGTTACATAAAGCACATTAAAGATTACATACAAAATTAAAATGAAAGGAAATTGCATGCACAGTTTTATGGACGGAAAAGGTAGACTACGTTTTGAAAAGAAAAAAAAAACACACACACACAGACACACTAAGATAACAAGGATTAGGGATAATAATATACAGCATTAAAACAAGGCAATGAGAGGCAAAAACAATCACTATCAACATTTACAGAAAACTAAATAACAAACGCATAGCACATTTACAGCTTGGGACATTCCAGATCTGTATAGATCTCCCAAAATCTTTGTCGTTTTCAACTTTGAGAATGTTATTAGGTAGGCTGTTCCATATCTGCGAGCCCTCAAACCTAAAAGAATTCTTACCGTATGTTAATGTTTGACCGTTGGAATAACTACACTTTTTTGATACCGAAAAGAAAAATTGGAAATATCATTCAGTTTAATAATTTCAATAAGATCAGAGGAGAGAATCTTGATATCTTTCTTAAATTATTTCCAAAGTCATTCACCTTCCAGCATTAATATATGGTGGTGAGTTTTCAAAAAAGTACTTAAAGAGATTTGGGGTTGTGTACATTGAACGCCATCTTTCATTGTTGATCTTGTTTACCATATTCTTTGGCTATAGTTTTGATTACTGATAATGTAGAGTAGACATACTTTACTTTTTTTAATAGTGTCTCATATGTAGAATAAAAGTAATTGAAAACTATTCTTAGAGTTCTATGCTTAATTTGTTCAAGCTTTTCGTGTTTGTTTTAGAACAAAAGTGCCAGACTAATGGACATTAGTTAAAATTGGACCTAATAAAAGTTATAAATAAGAAGTAAACATTATCAATTCAATCATTTTCTTATTCTTAAAAGCACATTTAATTGATTTGCTGCTTTTTTACTCATTCTAGTTTAAATCTGATTATCAACACTAAATAAAAAAATCAATGTTTACCCAAAGTAGTTTTAAAGCCTGCAACATTTTCAAATTTGACGTGTTGTGCTTTCTTTAGGGATTCTTATTTTCTATATATATTTTACACAATTGCCACAATTTATTATTGCATTATCAATAAGAAATTGTTTAAAGATATCATCAGTAGTTTTCCCAACAACTATGGCGTGAATCTTGTCAGGGTTACCTTGCATATGATTCATGTTGAGAATTTAATGAGTACTCTCCTTTCATTTTCTAACGTCTTTTCCAGTACATCTATTTGTTTAAAGTTTGTGTTGGAAAAAATATGAAAAACAAGATCAACAAGGAAGGGTTGAAGGTTGGCGTTCAATTCATGCAACGATACGATCCAGCAACAAAGGACCACTAGCAAGGAGCCCAGCAGGAAACCAAACAAAAACCGGACAAGACACAAGGCAAAAGTATTCTCCTCTACATAAGTGTACAAGGTTTTATCTTTGGCTACATTTACATAAAAGTCATTTAACATTTCACACACTTTAGTTTGCTCAGCTGTGAGGGACTCATTATCCTTAAGAATGCCGTCAGGGACTTTGGATTCTTTTAATAGAGGAAGCTGTCCAGCTAGCTCACGGAACGTCCGTGGTTCTATTCGGGTGCCCGTTCATGCCTGAAATAATGCACGGATAGGCACCTGAGGTCTTCCTCAACCAGCAAAGTTGGAACGTCGCCATATGACATATACTGTGTCGGTGTGACATAAAAAACAATCAAACAAAGCTTTTGTTGCATTGGGAGTTCACATTGTGTATATGTAGCTAGTGTTTATTTAGCTTATAGATAGATAGAGCGCCTGTGGCCGAGATGTTGACCTCGAACCACTTGCACCTCACCGCTGTGGGTTTGAATCCCGACAAGGACTTTGGATTTTTTCATGTAAAGAACCTATCCAGTTAGCTTTGGAACGTCGGTGGTTCAACTCGCGTTGGGATATGTTAAAAAAGATGAATACTTACAGTCCGTCAATTGTGTTTCCTGCGCCGACATGTATATACTGGTACAGCTGTCGACGCTTGAACTGCTGTCTGCCCATTTGATTGTACGGTGTGAATATAATCCCGAGGCGCAGCCCTCAACGAGAAAACAACGAGCAAAACTGGACACATCGATCCATCCAGTAAAAGGTGGATTTGAAAGAACTGAGAATGCAATATTAAAATGTATAGATACAACAAGAATGTCCTGTTGATGGGTGTTGACAAAACCTGAGACGTTTCTTTCATTCCCACATTCTTTCTGTTTTGTTTTCTCTCCGTTTCATTCATTAATTTCTTCCTTCTTTCTTGTGACAAAGTAAACCAGTAACCAGTAAAAGTGTCTCAAGTTAAAATCGGCTTAAATTTCAATTTCTTACTAAACAAGAGAGACATGATGGTCATAGATCGCTCACCTGAGATACATAGCCAGACAAGTGCCTTAAAATTTATTTTATATTTTTCCTTTTCCTTGTGGTCGTACATCAGGTTCATGGATTCTGAAATACTTAATAAAAATAAAAACATGTTAGTAAAGAAGAATAAAAATTCAGTTATAATGAATATGTTACCCATTCTATACGATGTTGTTTTAGTGTCAGACATGAACGATTGAAGTGAAATATAGATTGTCAAATCAAATTTCTGTATTAAATTTTGATAAACTGCATATAATTTGAAGTGATTTTTCAGTATGAAAATAGAAAGGATAGAAAATCTACAGAGTGCATAAAAAATTATCACGAAAATCAGGGATCAAAGGGAAGGCAATTTTTGAAATATGTGAGACGGAATTATTTGAGTGCTAATAAGTGTAGGCAATGTAAATGCCGTCAGTTATCAGTACCCCCCCCCCCCCCCCCTAAAAAAAGAAATTTATGATAAATAGTTTTAAATAGCTTTAAGAGTTGTCAAAATTATCAGACCTTTTGTAGCGTACAGTCATCTTATCGCACAAAAAAAAAACCCGTCGTATGCTTAAATATTTTGACAGCAATACGTAAATTTATATTTTAATACAGAACTATTTGCTAAGCAGCTCAATAATGAGTTGTAAGTAGAAATAGCAACTAACATACCCGATTTTGGCTTTATTCTTATGACTTTGTCACGGACACAAAAACAGTTTTCAATATTTTTTTCACTATTGTACCAAAGCTTCTATGATTTCGAGGAAATACATGCAGGTCAGAGGCCCACATAATGCACACAAAATTTGCAATTTTAATAGTCAATGACGATTTCATCCTTATAAAATATACTCACTCTGACGTGTGTTTTACAGTCTAAAATCCACCATTATTCCGTATCGTACCATTACACCTGTCTTTAAAAAAAAGTATCGCATAGCTATACATTAGACCCCCTGTAATTTCCTTCCTAACTTGTTCTTTCATGTGTACTGGTTTCTTCTGATATGCTCTGCAGACTGTTAAATGAAACGTAATTTTATTTGCTTGTGTGTTCATTGTGTTTAAATTACATGATGACAAATTAACTGGTCTAATTACACGTGTGCAATAATTCTAAAAAAAACATAATTTACTATCCGTCGGGTCTGTTTATTAAACAATCCCGACAAGGGTCTGAGTCAATTCCCAGCACTGGATGTCTAAATGAATTATTCCGAGACATTAATTCAGACTTCTCTTTCATCAGTCTATATTCTTGTTATAGCGTTTTAAGTTGTATTTCAGTTGCTTTAAAAAAAATAACAAAACAAAAAACAAACAAGCAAACAAAACAAAACAAACAAAAACAAAAAGACTTGTATATACCACAATTATGAAAAGAAAAACGCAGCTTTACCTATAATACACGTTGCTTTTTTATTTTTGGTTCTTTTCACCACTTTTTCTTTCTTGCTTTTACATGTATTTCAATCGTTTTCATTTTTATTTTCATTTATAATAAATTGATGGATCCCTACTCTGACCTTTCATATGAATAACAATAGATTTAACCACAAACTTTGACATGTGCTCCTTTGTTAACATTCATGTTGTGGTGAAATTCTTATTGTATCCACTTATCTGATAATTATAATTGGACAGGTTGGGAATCTATGCATTAAATAGCAGGACAGAAGGAATATTTTTAGTATTATTCAACCTTCACATTTAGTGATCCGGAAGTGAATAATTCGGATAGTCTTAGACTTTTACATTCACATCAATCAATACGAAATAAGACGAAATGCTGGGTCTGAAATATTTTGCATAGATCTATAGGTATTTCATATTGAGTTTCAATATTTCATTTATATTAGCTGTAAGGCTGGTTCCATTAAAACTATTGTAGTTAGCTTGCTGGGAATATATCCAATAAGAATCGGTGGGAAATGTCACTATTATGGTGGGAGGGGTATCAAGTTTGGACTGATAATTTTGTGTTTACTCATCATGATGATCAGTGATGACATTGCAACTTCATTGACACATAAATACTTAAGTAAGAGAACTATGTTATGATGTCGAAAAATATGTCACCACCAACCTGGGAACAGGACACTTCATCCAGTGTTTCAGCAACTCTGCGTGCTGAAAAAGCCCAAAATTATAACAATTATCAGATATATTTATCAAGTGTCGAGGTTATCTATGCATCAGAGTTATCTCTCTGACCAGTATTGACCTTTTCGAAAAGCTAGCTAAACACCGTTTTCCGGTATGTTACGTATTTAGTTCTGGGGAATTACACCAAATGAAGTACATGATATTTCTATTTTTGTATCATTATTTGCCGTTTTAATGTTGAAACTTGATGTGTTTGAAAAAAAATCAATGTTCCTATAATATCTATTGCAAATTTTTCAAAAAAATAAATTGTTTATAATGAAAATCAATAAAATTAAATCGGTCGTAGGGCATCTTTCATAATGAATAAGAGATATGCCTTATTCTCATCGGTTCGTGCCTTCTCATCGTTTCGTGACCTAAATAAATGACTGGTATAAATACTTCTGCAAGGACATTCACCACCTGAAAACTACACAAGTATTATTAGACACTCGATTTGACAATTCTATCCAATCAAAATGCGTAATTGAACAGGTGTAAATGTGCTAAATACCCTACAATCAGCTGATGACCTAATTACTTTAAAATATTCAATATTAATGTTTTAATTTATCAAACACACTAACAATTAAGCCAATAAAATATTCATTATGCTGTAAGAATTTTCTTAAGACTTTGAAACATATAATATTGATCAGATCAGACTGAAAATAACCATGCAAACATTTAGTGTTGTGAGCACCTATATTTTGATGATGTCAGAGGGTGAATCAGATTTCACAAATGGATGGGTAAGCGTCCAGCCTAGCAAGACAGCCATGGTTGACATGTTCAGATGCTCTAATCTTTGAGTGGTTGTTTTTAGAAGTAATTTAAAGTTTTTGAACTTTTAGATAAAGATTTTTTTTAACAAATACACTAATTGAACTGTATGTATGTCTGATATTTGTTGTGCCTGTGCAATTTTTCAAAATAGGAGTCACAAATCGATGAGAGAAAAGCATATTTTCTCCATAAACTTGTGTATTTACTTTATGTTTTGTATGGAATTATTCATACAATTATATTTAATTATTTTCTTACAAAGAAATATATTTTCTTACAAAGAAATAACTGTTTTTTTACTCTTTTAATTAAAAAAAAGACCAAAAACCCTGAGTTCGTTATTACACTTCATTACGTGAATACCCCAGAGCTGTGTATGTATGTGAGAATGTACCAGAAAACGGCGTTTCGCTAAGTTTTTGAATTTGTGAATAGCATAATAAATAAAATATTTGAAATTTGCAAAGCGCGTTTTCTGTGACACAGTCATAATTACCTTAATTGGATGTCTTTTCATAAAGTTATTTCTATTATTAGCACCATCCTTTTTAAATCCGCAAATAAATTAAGTATCCGAAATTTATCTATTTCCTGTAACTGCGTGTATGTATAAATTGGTATCCAGGATTAAGACATCTTCGGTCTGGGTAAACAAGCGATTTGTGATCAGATTTGTTAAAAGATGTCTGACAGATCTATTAAATGTTTTAATGCAAATAATTGGTTCTTTCTTTAGATAAAAGTGAGAAATTTAAGTTTACAAGTGAAATTAAACAGTTCTGAGATTTCTTTTGTAGTTTTTAAAAAAATTTCAAATTGACCTTTCATAAATTTCAAATGACCCCCATATTTTTATACAGAGGGTCACAAAGGACCCCAAAAAATCTAGTCTGGCAGAAACATTGTTCATCCCCCCCAGGCCCCCTCAACCTAGTATTGGGCAAAATTTTTATATCCTGCTGAATATACTCTTGACACTTGGTAGTTGGTCTTTGGATGCGTTGCTCCAAACATCTTAGCTTAAAAGTTTTCAGCGCACCTGTTAGCGTACTACATAATGACGTGAATACTGAAGACAGACCTTTATTAAAGTCCAATGTATCAGATGCTACGGGCAGCAGCTTGTTATAGTTTATGTCTGTCAAGCCCAATGTCTAATTGTTATTGCTCATATATGCATAGCATCATAAAATAAATAAAAATATTTATTGTCTTGCCTTTCAAGCCTTATTCAAAAGTTTATCAAATTTTCTTTCAATATCATGCTCAATCATTAACAAAAATTCTCAAATAATTCGTCTTCATCAATTTAAAATGAAATATACACATCAATCTATTTTTGCCTATTGGCCATACTGCTTAAGTCAAGCTTTTTACAAATTGGTTCCAAAGTTTAACGGAAAAATATACTCCATTGAAATTTAATGCAGACATAGCAAAAACATTGTCTGTTGATAATTCAGGTAACCAGGCTTAATTTTATCTGGTTGTGGTTTATTGGTAATTTCGGATCATTCACTTATACACCAGTCGGTTGTATGAGTCGCTTGAAAAACATTGAACCAAAAGTTTCAGGTTTATGAAGAAGGTTTAATTCATGCCCAGATGTTTCAAAATTTTACCAGTTCATGTTAAATGTAAAATCTGCTTAAGCTGGTGCTCCGGGGCATGGACAGTAACTTGCACTTTCTAGTACCGTCCTGGACTCAATGAACAGGCTCAATCAAACTACATTGTAAATCTGCAACATTTTCAATTTTGTTGTTTCTGGCGTTCTGTAGGGATTCTGTTTTTTCATTATTGTTTAAGAATGTTATAATTGTTATTTTATAGATAGAGTTGTCTAAGGAACTACTGGACTGGGATAGTGATTATGTCACAGAATAAGAAAACATCAACTTGTCCACACGTGACCAGTCTCGGGGCTGTTTCATGGAGCATCATCCGAAAAGCTCAAAAGGTAAACATTGAACACAAAAATTTGAGCCGTGTCATGACAAAACCAACATAGTGGGTTTGCGACCAGCATGGATCCAGACCAACCTGCGCATCCGCGCAGTCTGATCAGGATCCATGCTGTTCGCTTACACACCCTATAGCAAGTAGAGAAACCGATAGCAAACAGCATGGATCCTGATCAGACTGCGCGGATGTGCAGGCTGGTCTGGATGCATGCTGGTCGCAAGCCCATTATGTTGGTTTTGTCATGACACAGCTCAAATGTATTATATACACGTACATTTTGTAAAATACTTCTTGTGAAGATGTTAAAATATTTACACGTTTTTATAAAAGTACAACATGCACTTGATGCCTAGAAGCCGGGATACAAAAAACCAAAAAATTGTTTACTATAGCACGGGAGAGAAAATTTGTTCAAACAGTGCTTGCATAGTTACACTATGATGACAGTTTATTTACACATATTCCAATGTGCAAGCTATTGAATTTGATATATCGTCAATATTCAGCTTTCTTATATTGATTTAAAATTTTTCAACAATAGTGAAATATAATTTGTTTTTACATGCAAACAAACAATTTTTTTATTTTATGTGTTTATAGTGGTTTTTAGTAACTTTGACTGATTTTTTTGCTGTGTTACTTCTTTTTAGCTCACCTGTCACAAAGTGACAGGGTGAGCTTTTGTGATCGCTTTTCGTCCGGCCGGCGTCCGTCGTCCGTAAACTTTTACTTTAAATGACATCTCCTCATAAACCACTAAGCCAATTTCATCCAAACTTCACAGGAATGTTCCTTTGGTGGTCACCTTTGAAAATTGTTCAAAGAATTTAATTCCATGCAGAACTCATGGCAACCAAAAGAAAAAACTTTAAATATCTTCTTCTAAAAAACCCAAAGAGCTAGAGCCTAGATATTTGGCATGAAACATCTTCTAGTGAGTTTCTACCAAGTTTGTTCAAATAAAAGCCCTGGGGTCAAAATTGGCCCCGCCCCAGGGGGTCATTGATTTTCCCTATATGCATACAGTAAAAACTTAAAAAATCTTCTTTTAAAGAACCCAAAGAGCTAGAGCTAACAAATTTAGCATGAAACATCTTCTAATGGGTGTCTACCAAGTTTGTTCAAATAAAAGCCCTGGGGTCAAAATTGGCCCCGCCCCGGAGGTCATTGATTTTCCTTATATGTGTATAACTAAAACTTAAAAAATCTTCTTTGAAAAAACTCAAATAGCTAGAGTATAGATATTAAGCACAAAGCATCTTCTAGTGAGTGTCTACAAAGTTTGTTCAAATAAAAGCCCTGGGGTCAAAATTGGCCCCATGCCCCAGGGGACATTGATTTTCCTTATATGTGTATAGCAAAAACTTAAAAATCTTCTTTGAAAAAACCCAAATAGCTAGAGTTTAGATATTAAGCATGAAACATCTTCTAGTAAGTGTCTACAAAGTTTGTTCAAATAAAAGCCCTGGGGTCAAAATTGGCCCCACCCCGGGGGTCATTGATTTTCCTTATATGTGTATAGCAAAAACTTAAAAATCTTCTTCGAAAAATCCGAATAGCTAGAGTTCAGATATTAAGCATGAAACATTTTCTAGTAAGTGTCTACAAAGATTGTTCAAATAAAAGCCCTGGGATCCAAACTGGCCCTGCCCCAGGTGTGTCATTGTTTTTAACTATATGTGTAAAGAAAGAAAATGACCAGCTAGACCTTAGATGTTTAGCATGAAACATCTTCTAATGGGTGTCTACCAAGTTTGTTCAAATAAAAGCCCTGGGGTTTAAACTGGCCCCGCTTGTGACGGGGGCCTATATACAGGTGAGCGACTTCAGGGCCATCATGGCCCTCTTGTTTAATCATGACATGTGAAAATGTTTGTGTGCTTCTCGAAATCAAGCATACATGTATTTTAATATGACAAAGTGTTTTTCTGAAGAGATTTCCATTATGATTTATGTATGATAAATTCTGTTCATCTGCATTGAAATATTGTCCAGCTAAAGTGAAAACAATTTTTTTATATATTTAAAAATATATTATAATTTCACTGTCTATTAAAAAAAAAACAGGTAATAAAACTTATTATAAAACCATTATGCTGTACAGGTTAACAAATTATGATTATACATAATATTTTATTAGCATGAGGTATGTGATACGTGTGAGATGCGAGCCACAAACCTTTGGCTATGTTTGGTTGGCAGATGCACATATGTCGGGTGCGGAGAATCGTTAAAGGACCACAGCTCACATCATGCTCAGGTCAGTACTTTAAGTGTCCAGGTTTTCTGATTATTTTTTCTCATGGTATATGTATGGCAGGGCTCTTGTTAGCATTTTGAGACTGGGGCCAGGGTACCGGCAGGCGGGTGGGGGGGATTTGGCATGGTTTTCAAATATTTTTCATTCAAGGGGGAATTTCGATAGAAGAAAATTAATTCATTAAAAACATATGGAAGAATATTAACGCCAAAATTACATCTTGCTTTCTTACGTTACATCGTGCTTTCTAACTTGTACATCTTGCATTCTGACTTTTACATCTTGCATTCTGACTTGTACATCTTGCATTCTGACTTGTACATCTTGCATTCTGACTTTTACATGTTGCTTTCTTACATGCACATTATGCTTTCTGCTGTGTGCGTCTTGCTTAATTGTATGTTGATATCGTTATTTAACGATCAATTATTATTCATTTGTTGATCTGGTATATTAATTCAATAACTTAACCTGCAACTGTTTGTATTTGGGTCTATTTACTCAGCATGAATGACGAATGTCATAAGGTAGAATGACGCATAGCCGAATGCAGCAAGCATAATACGTCGCGACATCTGGTGTAATAATATGTGCCACCCAAATTATGCTAACAGGTGGCGCTACAGTTATATTCTTGGTAAAGTCTGTATTGCGGTTCGGAATTACGTCCCTTCGTTTTAAAATTTCCATTTCCACTATGGAGGAAATAAGGTAAACATATATACAAAACGATTTGACCAATTTTTGTTTTTATTACTGAAACTCTGTGGGTCAAAATATATTTCCAGCTGACAATGACAAGTTAGGCTGAAGATGCCTTTTTTATAAAGAAAACTACTAAAAAGGCATCTTCTATCAACAAAATAATTATAAAATAGAACAGTTGTTCAAAGTGCTTGGGCCATAAAAAGAACTTCTTAGTAAAATAGTTCATCCTCTTGAAAAATTCCTAATTTTTGACATGGCTTATTTCCAATACCTGTGACCATCCACAACATTTTTAATGTGTTTTTATTAATAAGGACATTTTCTTGCCTATTTTCAAACTAAATTTGTAGTTTTTTTAAATTCAACTTGTCAAAAAAAATATAAGGGGAGCGTAGGCCTAGTGGTTAAGGTGTCTGCCTCTCAACCCAGAGATCATGGGTTCGAGCCCTACTCGGGTCACGACCATGTTTCTCCACATGACACCAGTACTGGTTGGTTCCAGGAAGCGGACTCGAAAGTGATTAATATAAGTTGCAAGAACTTGTTTCGCAATCGAGCTTAAATAAATATGTTTAAACCAAAAAAAAAAATTTTTCACTAAGTTGAAATTATTCACTAAGATGCTTTATGAATACGGGACCTTGTTCACAGTGTCAGCTTAAAACTGAATTGAAGGAACTGCTGCCAAAATCAGCTGCTTCTGAGAAAAAAAATGTCAAAACTGTCAATCTGTGAGAGTGCAGCTTTAAGACGAATGATTTCATAATGTTAATTGATGAGTACATAAAAACAAAATGTACAAAAAAGATCCCAAGAAATGGTTTTAAAATGAATATTGCATGTTGGGCTGAAGATTACGGTGGCACAAAGGTGACTTGTGTATGTTTTTATTTATCTCGTGCGCACGAGATACTATGTCGTGGCCACGAGGTAATAAGTCGTAGCCACGAGATAGCTTAGTCGTGACCACGAGATACTATGTCGTGGCCACGACTTAGTACTCGTGGCCACGACTTAGCTATCTCGTGGCCACGACTTAGTAACTCGTGGCCAGCCACGAGATAAATAAAAATACACACATGTCACCTTTGTGCCACCGTAGAAGATGCCTTTTTAGTAGTTTTCTTTATAAAAAAGGCATCTTCAGCCTAACTTGTCATTGTCAGCTGGAAATATATTTTGACCCACAGAGTTTCAGTAATAAAAACAAAAATTGGTCAAATCGTTTTGAATATATGTTTACCTTATTTCCTTCATAGTGGAAATGGAAATTTTAAAACAAAGGGACGTAATTTGGTAAACTGAATCTGAACCGCAATTATGTAACAGACTTTACCGAGAATATAACTGTAGCGCCACCTGTTAGCATAATTGTGGTGTCACATATTATTACACCAGATGTCGCGTCGTATTATGCTTGCTGCATTCGGCTTTCGGCTATGCGTCATTCTACCTTATGACATTCGTCATTCAAGCTCGTAGACCTATTGAATTAATATACCAGATCAACAAATGAATAATTATTGATCGTTAAATAATGATATCAACATACAATTAAGCAAGACGCACACAGCAGAAAGCATAATGTGCATGTAAGAAAGCAACATGTAAAGTCAGAATGCAAGATGTACAAGTCAGAATGCATGATGTACAAGTCAGAATGCAAGATGTTCAAGTCAGAATGCAAGATGTACAAGTTAGAAAGCACGATGTATCGTTAAAAAGCAAGATGTAATTTTGGCGTTAATATTCTTCCATAAAAACAAGTGAAAACAAGATTCAGTTAACAAATTTATCAACAGTAAGCTGCTGTCATGAAATATTTTGATTATTTCCAATGCAATTGAATACATCTTTGATACTTTGTTTAAAAATGTGATCCCTGATCTATGGCCGTTAATATTATTTTCGAGAGGGATTTTTTTGGTTTAAGGGGGAAAACACTCTATTTTAATGGGGGAATGGGGTCCATATTCGGCCCCAAATTTTACTTAATGAGAGCCCTGTATGGCCATTTATTAAAGCAGCATGCCTCCAGATTCATGCCAGTTTTCATGAAAATTTTGAAAATAATTTTCATGGTAAAATATTGTGAAGTGAAGAAAATAATGTACACATTGAAAATGGCAAAAAGAGGTCATAATATGCAGAAAAAATGGTCCTTACTGCTTTAGTCACGCAGTAGATAATTATATGATGATTAATACAGCAAATTTTTTTTTTTTTAATCGCACATAATTTGTATATTATTACTAGCCTCTAGAATTTGTTTTACTTTCTTTTAATCAAAGTACATTTTCTTGCAAGTTTAATATTCTTGAAATATTTAGGGCCTTGTGAAGGCATGTAGCCTTATTTGTTGCTTGCTGTATAATATTGGTCTTAGAAGCTTTAATGAGATACAGCATCGTATAAACTGTATATAATCTATTCCAACATGTTTGCATAAGACAGTGTCATACATTTGTATAATAATATAATGTAATTAATAAAAGACATAATGTCATTAAAAAGAACATAATGTCATTAAAAAGAACATAATGTCATTAAAAAGAACATAATGTCATTAAAAAGAACATAATGTCATTAAAAAGAACATATTACAACAATTTCAGTTGGATTTTCATTGCTTGGCGATTAACCTGGCAACGCTACGGATCTGGTGTTACCGTTGTCAATCCGAGGTGTTCCACGATCGAAACAATCCCCCTGTGTTGTAAGTGTTCTCTTTTCTGTGAAATCCAATCTTGAGAAACTGCATGGTCGAGTAGTTAATGTGTCGGACAAGTAATCTAATGATGGCTAGCCGCATTGGTTCAAACCCTGTCAGGGGCAAGTCATTGTTTCCTTGAGCATGAAACTTTATACTTATTGCTCAGTACTGGTTGGTTCCAGGAACAGATTCAAAAGTGTGTCTATAAGCTTATAGCTTTCTACACAGTTGAACTAGAATAAATTCTGTGTAAAACAAATCAAATCTTTACTTGCTGGTACTATACTGGTTATGCAGTCATTTGCTAATTAGCATATGTAGCTCCGCTGTCGAACAATTATGGACCTAGAAAGGTAAGAGGTTAAAGTATGTTTGCTCGAGCGAAAAAAAAAATCTTGAAAAGAGGAATTTCTCTTTGAAGCAATGAAATAAACAAAATTACATGAAATATGCTGACTCAGTTTGATTCATTTTAGTATGTGCATGAGGGGTAATGGAAAAGTACATCATCTCTCATGCCCCTATCACTGGCTTTAGTGGAATACAGACATGAAATTATTCCTTAGTGCTGGAACAGAAAGTAAACAGCTTGTCTGACAAGTGAAATTGACCATCTTGGAAGTTTCATCTTAATATCTCAAAAATTGATCTTGTTCCATTTGGAAGCCAGAACTGAGATATGACTGACAAAGTTTGTTAGTCTCGCCATGACAAAACCAACTTAGTGCATTTGTGACCAGCATGGCTCCAGACCAGCCTGCACATCCGTGCAGTTTGATCAGGATCCATGCTGTTCGCTTACAAACCCTATAACAAGTAGAGAAACTGATAGCGAACAGCATGGATCCTGAATTAATCTAGTTTGGGGTGATATAATGGTAAATCGTAAACAGCCCTTGCCGGTTTCAACAGTTCTGCTGTTGCCTATTTGTATTGTTGTGGTTTTTTTTGTGGTTACATGACATTGAGAGGGTGGTTTCCACTATGGCGTTATTTTTTGAAAGAAAAATCAAAATGGCAGCTTACTCACATGTTTATTATTGACAGTTATCATGAATTTGATATCATGTGTATTATATGGATTAAACTCACTACAGTGTTTGAGCAGTACCTCTCGAAGCTTGCAGAAATCATGATCACAAAATAGAAAAATATCGCTTTTTTCGAAGATTTTTGCATTTTTCTTTCATTATCGTATATAAATCGGTATGAACAGATAAATTAGGCGTTTTGAAGTGTACATGTATTTTGGTGTGTGAAAAGGCAAGATTTTTTGCATTTTTCTTTCATTATCGTATATAAATAGGTGTGAACAGATTAATTAGGCGTCTTAAATTGCATTTTGAAGGGTGAAAAGGAAAGATTTTAGCATTTAAGCATTCAGGCGCCTTGTCCGGTATATACTTTGTGGCTCTGAAATTTTTTTAGTCTTATTCGTGATATATACATCATTATGTTTGTAGAATTCCGGACAAGTTAAGCAAGGAGATGGAAGAAGATGATCAGCATAGTGAGTTTACACCGGATAACTCTCCGCAACATTCTGCGTTCGGTGGCGACGACACGGAGTCTGATGGTGATGACGAGGTGCACCACGGTAAACCTAAAGGTTTAACCGGTCTACAGAACCTTGGCAACACTTGTTACCTCAATGCTGCCTTACAAGCCTTGTCTAACTGGTAGGGTTTTAATAAATGACATCTGGTTGTTTTTGTTGATTTAGGATTGTTATTTTCAAAACTTTTCGAAACAAGAAATATGTTGGTGTTGCCCGACAAAGTTAATGAAGGGATGTAACAGATGTAGTACATGGCAGTATTTCAGATCAGTGATATAAATATAAGTAAATATAGATTATTATTGCCAAAAACTCTTAGGTGCTAGAAATAAAGCTTTCCAGTTTTTTTAGTGTGACTGAATAACAAACAAAAAATTGATGTTAAAACTGTAACAGACTTGTATTCACGAATGTATATGTATTCTAACACAACTGATTAAATATTTTCTATGCATGTAGAAAAGTAGGGAGTAACTTGTAGTATTACAGAATTAAAAAATAAATCTATAAATATACAAATTTATTACATGCTTTTCAGTGGTTTATAGAAATATATCAGTGATATAAAACTGGTAATTTCACTGTTTGAAACAGTGAAATTACCACTTTGATAATTTCACTGTTTTGAAATTAAGCCCCTTACGTTGTTTCAGTGAACTACCAGCGTGCACAGTACTGGGTACCAACTTAATGACGTGATGTCGTAAATGACGTCACTTTGTATTATTATTTGGCGCGCTTTTCATTCAGTATTAGGTTTAATGTCTTTTTAAAACGTTTTTTGCATGTAATAAAAAGAAAATTTGTTTAGTTTAGTGTAAGATCGAAATATATTTCACCTTGTGAATACCAAAAGTTCATATTTCACTCGTGGCTGCGCCACTCGTGAAATATAGCTTTTGGTGCTCACTCGGTGAAATATATTCCGATCTTACACTGAACTAAACAAATATCCTCTATATCTCTTTTGTTGAAAGGTATAATTATTTAACATTTTTATTTAGCGGCCAGTTCATATTGGTTGGGAATTCTGTCTCTGCCACATTCAGCTGGCTCACATTCAGCTCTCATTCAAAACATTAAACATTATTGTGTTATCAGATAATTTTCTGTGTTATTGTTTTAGTCCACCATTGACGAGATTTTTCCTGGATTGTGGTGGATACGTTCATGCAGATCGTAGTATGTCGCTCAGTAAAAACTACATGAAACTTATGCACGAGATATGGCATCGTAAAAGGTAATTAGAATGGAGATTTTTATTTCTTGCCTAAAACGTCAAGCAGATGGCATTATAAGCAAATGACAATTTTTTCCTAGCATGCAAAGAGTTAAAGGGACTCCACTGAGGTTTTTGTTTTTAGTTGGGTTTTTTTGGGGGGGGGAGGGGTGGAGTCTGACCTAACAAAAAATGTTTGTCCAAGATTTGTGTACCATTTGATGTGGGTTTGAACCAATAAAATTAAAAACTTGTGTTTAAAATTTTAGATCATTCTCTTACACACAGATTTACCTGAATAATCCCTTTTATTGTTCAAATAGACCCAAACATGAAAAGCAATACTTTTCCCTCATATTCGGGCTAAGAATTGCACACAAAAAAATCAGTATTCAATTTAATTCTTTAGTTTATTTCTTCATAATCCTTTACAGATTTTTCCGGTTTAAGTTCTCCACTTATCTCTGTAAGAATTTCTAATTTTATGTTTTAAGCTTTTTGACCTCATTAGGAGCTCCTTTAAAGCAAACTTGAAAGCTGACCATCAGAAGTGTTTAATAATGATCAATAAAATTATTGATTAACATTACAAGATAAGTGTTGGTGGTCTTTGTTTTCAAAAAATGAAGGAGTAAATTTCTTTTACAAAACTTTAGAATAACATTGTAACTTAAAGATCCTGTATGTTATAATTGAGGTTGTATACCACACTTAGTGAAATTTTATATGTGTGTATATAATTATGCTTATAAAACAATTTTCAAACATCAAAGAATATGTAAAATATGTACTGCAAATAGTTGTACATATTATATGTAATCACTAAAATAAATACATTCATTTCCTATTGAAAAATTTGACTTAGACTTTATAGAAAATAAATTTCTAATTACCTCCCTTTGTAGTTAACATAAAATGTTAAATTCGGTAATATCTTTATAAATAATGCTTTTCAGAACTTACAATATTGATAAATCTTGATTTGAGCATCATATTTATGATATAAAACCATAAAAAATGTGTGTTACATGAGGATCTTTAATATTTTTGAGGAATTTTTCCATTAAGTTTTTACATAATCTTTCATTTACACCCAAATATTATTCTCTAGAGGTTTGAAATGAAAAACACTGTGCATAATAATAGTGCACATTAGGGGCCAATCAAATTAAAGCAATTGACTGTAATATGCTCTCATTGTTTACAGACCGAGTTACTTGGTACCAAGCGGCATAGTGAGTGGTATAAAGTTGGTACATCCGATGTTTCGAGGCTATTCCCAACAGGTAATTTAAATAATATGAGACACGTCGCGACAAAACCAACGTAATGTGTTTGCGACCAGCATGGATCCAGACCAGCCTGCGCGTCCACGCAGTTTGATCAGGATCCATGCTGTTCGCTAACAAACCCTATTACAAGTAGAGAAACTGATAGCAAACAGCATGGATCCTGACCAGACTGTGCGGATGCGCAGGCTGGTCTGGATCCATGCTGGTCGCAAACGCATTATGTTGGTTTTGTCGTGACGTGGCTCATATACAATATGAGTGGTATGAAAATAAATATTTTATGAGTGCCTGGAGCCACCAGTGAAAGATGTTAATTTTCATACCACAAGATGAAAATAAATCCTGTATTTATAGTTATAGAATAAACTTGAATTTTCTGTTCATTATATACATTTTTCTCTTTTTTGACATTACAATTTTCAGGACTTTTCCTTAAATTTTGTATAATCAATGAATTTAGAAGAAATTAGTCCGGCAAGACACTAGTGAAAATGCGAAAAATTTGTTTCACTGCAGTGAAAATGAATTTTTTAAAGTGAAAATACTGAAAATACTGAAAATGAAAATACACATTTTATTTTATCAATATTTCTCATTATGTTATATATAAGTATATAATGAATTATCAATTCTTTAAAATTCTACATGGTTATCTTTGACAGTGACATATATATAGAATTATGTTTATCATGCTGTAACTGGCTTAATATATTAGAGGCACATTAATTTTTTATAGTAACTGGGTTCAGGTTAACAAAAAGTTATATAGGCTATATATTTCACCCATCTTTTCCTACTTTTGTGTTTTTGCATTTAGCATACAGTGGAACTCACTTATAGCAAACTCGGATACGGCATTAACTGGGTTATTAGAAACACTTTTGCTAGGTCCCGATTTTTTCGCTTCTTTATCTTACATAACAAAGATACTATTTTACTTGATAAAAAAGCAAATACAATGCTGCTTAAAATTATAATAAGAGTAAAGAATACATTGAAATTTGCCTTTTTTTCACATGCTAGGATACTCAAGAGTTTCTTAGATGTTTCATGGACCAGCTACATGAAGAATGTAAACAACCAATCATTGAGGAGCTTGATGACCGGGAGGCGGAGACTGAAATTCATGAAGAACACCACACCTCTCATGTTATTGGTCGACAGTTGTCAATGGAAACGAGCAGCTGCAGTAGCCAATCAGATGGTGACTATGAAACTTGTGATTCTGCCATAGGAAGTGAACGCGATATCAACCACTCTAGTGATGAAAATAGTGATATTAACGATGTTGTCACAAAAATGAATTTATCAACAAGACAAAATAGGTCAAAGAATTCCTTTTGTAAGTCGGAGGATGCCTCTGATGCTATAAATAGACCTGGTTATCTGAAAGTTAAGAAAGACAGTATAAATATGTCAATGAGAGCTGGAGACAATACAAGCACTTGTTCTGATGATCAGAGAAGTGATTCTGGCGACTTTGTTGACGCCGAGAATGAACCATTACGATCGCGGCGTCGTGGCGGCAAGAGGACAATGTCAGATTCTTCAGACCGAGATCAAGCAAACATGTACAGCAGACGACAACCAGTCCAATATAAACAATCTGTTAGCACAGGTAATATATTAGTCATTTATTACACCATAGAATTTGTTGTGTTTTTTTTTTGTTTTTTTTTATAATAAGAACATGAAAATGTTTATACTTGTTGGATAAGTGGCCAGGATTGGCAACTAATAATCACTTGTCTCCCTTCTGCCTTGGGCTCAGATCCCAACTGAGACTTTCATGTGCGGAACATTTCTAGCTAGCATATGGAATATTGATGATTCTACTGAGGTTGAAGCAAATTTAATTTTAGCTAGATCAAAAAAGGACACAGCCACGCAAGTTTATTTGAATTCTTGAGTACAACTCCTTGAACTGTTATTTGTGTTAATGAAACATCATTGGCTCTACTCGTGTGTTCATTTGCGCCACAATAGTGCATGGAGAGGCACCTGAGGTCTTTCTCCACCAATAAAGCTGGAAAGTCACTATATGACTCCACCCCCGCCCCCCCCCCTCCCCCTCATCCCCAGAAAAAAACAAACAAAATTTATAATTATAATTACATGAGGAAACAAAGTAACTGTATTGTAGCTTTTTATCACAAATTTTAATAAAAATTATAGCTCGACAAAAAGAAAAATATATATATATATATTTTTAGCTCGACTATTCGCAGAATAATCAAGCTAATGCAGTCACCCATTTGTCGGCGTCCCTGTGGTTAAGTTTTTGTGTGTAAGCTGGTATCTCCATAACTACTGAAGGGAATGGATTGAAACTTCACACACTTGTTCTCTGTGATTATTTAAGATGATTGGCACAAGTCCCATAACTCTGATTTGCCTTTTTGCATAATTATGCCCCTTTTTCAACTTAGAAATTCTTGGTTAAGTTTTTGCGTGTAAGCTGGTATCTCCATAAATACTGAAGGGAATGGATTGAAACTTCACATACTTGTTCTCTGTGATTATCAAAGATGATCTGCACAATTCCATAACTCTGATTTGCTTTTTTGCATAATTATGCCCCTTTTTTCGACTTAGAAATTCTTGGTTAAGTTTTTGCTTGTAAGCTGGTATCTCCATAACTACTGAAGGGTTTGTACCTTTTCTGACAATTTTCTATATTCATATACGTAAGCATTATTATGCTCAATGAAACACCATTGTGACAACTTTTCGAATAGTCGAGCGTTACTGTCCTCTGATAGTTCTTGTTATATATTCTGTGATTTTATTGCACTTCACCTTACTTATATCTATAACATTTAGTTTATTGGGAGATATCTTCACAATTTTGTGGAATTTGCTAGATTCAGTCACAAATGTTGAATACAAATGTAGTTTTGACAGTTTTTAAAAGGCCAATATTAATAAGCTATTTATACACTATACTCAATAACTTTTATTATCTTTTAAGGAAAAAAGAGGACTGCACAGTATCAAAGTGTAATATCTGATATATTTGATGGAAAGTTGAGCAGTTCTGTACAGTGTCTTACATGTGAAAGGGTAAGTTAGTTATGATTCTCATTTGTGATATTTGATACCTTCTTTGTTACTTAATAAACCACCTACCAAATTAATATGCTTTTATATCTCACCAAGACAGTATGTACCATTATTACATCCCACAAAGTCAGTATGGTTATTATATCCCACAAAGACAGTATGGTTATTATATCCCACAAAGACAGTATGGTTATTTTATCCCACCAAGACAGTATAGTTTTTATGCCCCCACAATGTGGGAGCATATAGCGTTGCACTTGTCCGTCAGTCCGTCCGTCCGTCCGTCCCTACGTCCCAAAATCTTGTGAACGCAACTCCTCTTAAACCGGATGGCAGATTTTGCTTAAACTTACAGGGATGAACAACCTTAATGTGTAGATGGTAGTAAAGGAAGGAATTTTTGCTGCGACCAAATTTAACAGAATTATGGCCCTTTGTTGATTTTTTCACTATATACTATGTAGAAATTTTGTGAACGCAACTCCTCTTAAACCGGATGGCAGATTTTGATTTAACTTACAGGGATGAACAACCTTAGGGTGTAGATGGTAGTAAAGGAAGGAATTTTTGCTGCGACCAAATTTAACAGAATTATGGCCCTTTGTTGATTTTTTCACTATATACTATGTAGAAATTTTGTGAACGCAACTCCTCTTAAACCGGATGGCAGATTTTGATTTAACTTACAGGGATGAACAACCTTAGGGTGTAGATGGTAGTAAAGGAAGGAATTTTTGCTGCGACCAAATTTAAAAGAATTATGGCCCTTTGTTGATTTTTTCACTATAAACTATGTAGAAATTTTGTGAACGCAACTCCTCTTAAACCGGATGGCAGATTTTGCTTACACTTCCAGGAATGAACAACCTTAATGTGTTGATGGCAGTAAAGGAAGGAATTTTTGCTGCGAACAAATTTAACAGAATTATGGCCCTTTGTTGATTTTTTCATTATATACTATGTAGAAATTTTGTGAACGTAACTCCTCTTAAACCGGATGGCAGATTTTGCTTAAACTTACAGGGATGAACAACCTTAATGTGTAGATGGTAGTAAAGGAAGGAATTTTTGCTGCGAACAAATTTAATAGAATTATGTCCCTTTGTTGATTTTTAGTTTTCAACTTGTGGCACATGTAGTCCAAAAAATATTTGACCTAGAGTCATAAGATTGACAGAACAGTGGCGTGTGGGGGCATCAGTGTCCTATGGACACATTTCTAGTTTATCTTACCAAGACAGAATTGTTATTTTTATCCTACCAAGACTGTATGGTTATTTTATCCCACCAAGACAGTATGGTTATTTTATCCCACCAAGACAATACAGTTATTATATACAACTAGACTATGATATTTTCTCAAAAATACTTCATATCTAGGTGAGTAAATTGCTGGCCCAGCAACAGTGACTATTTCATTATGGATGCACTACTAGAATATGATAGTGCATGCAAACTTTGGTAAAAAGTTGTTAAATTATTACAAAATTTTTATTGAAAAAATGTTCACAAGGAAGATGGAGGCCCCTAGACCTTTGATTCCATTTGATTTTCAATGACATTCATTGCATACAGTGAACACTTCAGTACTAGAACAGAATTTTGTCAGTACTAGGACAAAATTTGGTCAGTACTGGAACAGAATTTGGTCACAGAATTTGGTCAGTACTGGAATAGAATTTGGTCAGTACTAGAACAGAATTTGGTCAGTACTAGAACAGAATTTGGTCAGTACTTGGACAGAATTTGGTCAGTACTGGAACAAAATTTGGTCAGTACTGGAACAAAATTTGGTCAGTACTGGAACAGAATTTGGTCAGTACTGGAACAAATTTGGCCAGATCCAGAACAGACTTTGGTAAGTACTGGGACAGAATTAGGTCAGTACTGGAACAAAATTTGGTCAGTACTGGAATAGAATTTGGTCAGTACTGAGACAGAATTTGGTCAGTACTTGGACAGAATTTGGTTTGTACTGAGACATAATTTGGTTTGTACTGAGACATAATTTGGTTTGTACTGAGACATAATTTGGTTTGTACTGAGACATAATTTGGTTTGTACTGAGACATAATTTGGTTTGTACTGAGACATAATTTGGTTTGTACTGAGACATAATTTGGTCAGTACTGAGACAGAATTTGGTTTGTACTGAGACATAATTTGGTTTGTACTGAGACATAATTTGGTTTGTACTGAGACATAATTTGGTTTGTACTGAGACATAATTTGGTTTGTACTGAGACATAATTTGGTTTGTACTGAGACATAATTTGGTTTGTACTGAGACAGAATTTGGTCAGTACTGAGAGAATTTGGTCAGTACTGAGACATAATTTGGTTTGTACTGAGACAGAATTTGGTTGGTACTGAGACAGAATTTAGTTTGTACTGAGACATAATTTGGTCAGTACTGAGACATAATTTGGTTTGTACTGAGACATAATTTGGTTTGTACTGAGACAGAATTTGGTCAGTACTGAGACATAATTTGGTTTGTACTGAGACATAATTTGGTTTTGTACTGAGACATAATTTGGTTTGTACTGAGACAGAATTTGGTTTGTACTGAGACATAATTTGGTTTGTACTGAGACATAATTTGGTTTGTACTGAGACAGAATTTGGTCAGTACTGAGACATAATTTGGTTTGTACTGAGACATAATTTGGTTTGTACTGAGACAGAATTTGGTCAGTACTGAGACATAATTTGGTTTGTACTGAGACATAATTTGGTTTGTACTGGAACATAATTTGGTCAGTACTGAGACAGAATTTGGTCAGTACTGAGACATAATTTGGTTTGTACTGAGACATAATTTGGTTTGTACTGAGACAGAATTTGGTCAGTACTGAGACATAATTTGGTTTGTACTGAGACATAATTTGGTTTGTACTGAGACATAATTTGGTTTGTACTGAGACAGAATTTGGTTTGTACTGAGACAGAATTTGGTTTGTACTGAGACATAATTTGGTTTGTACTGAGACATAATTTGGTTTGTACTGAGACATAATTTGGTCAGTACTGAGACAGAATTTGGTTTGTACTGAGACAGAATTTGGTCAGTACTGGGACAGAATTTGGTTTGTACTGAGACATAATTTGGTTTGTACTGAGACATAATTTGGTTTGTACTGAGACATAATTTGGTTTGTACTGAGACATAATTTGGTTTGTACTGAGACATAATTTGGTTTGTACTGAGACATAATTTGGTTTGTACTGAGACAGAATTTGGTCAGTACTGGAACATAATTTGGTCAGTACTGAGACAGAATTTGGTCAGTACTGAGACAGAATTTGGTTTGTACTGAGACATAATTTGGTCAGTACTGAGACAGAATTTGGTCAGTACTGAGACATAATTTGGTTTGTACTGAGACATAATTTGGTTTGTACTGAGACAGAATTTGGTCAGTACTGAGACATAATTTGGTTTGTACTGAGACATAATTTGGTTTGTACTGAGACATAATTTGGTTTGTACTGAGACATAATTTGGTCAGTACTGAGACAGAATTTGGTCAGTACTGAGACATAATTTGGTTTGTACTGAGACATAATTTGGTTTGTACTGAGACAGAATTTGGTTTGTACTGAGACATAATTTGGTTTGTACTGAGACATAATTTGGTTTGTACTGAGACAGAATTTGGTCAGTACTGAGACAGAATTTGGTTTGTACTGAGACAGAATTTGGTTGGTACTGAGACAGAATTTGGTCAGTACTGAGACATAATTTGGTTTGTACTGAGACAGAATTTGGTTTGTACTGAGACATAATTTGGTCAGTACTGAGACATAATTTGGTTTGTACTGAGACATAATTTGGTCAGTACTGAGACATAATTTGGTCAGTACTGAGACATAATTTGGTTTGTACTGAGACATAATTTGGTTTGTACTGAGACATAATTTGGTTTGTACTGAGACATAATTTGGTTTGTACTGAGACATAATTTGGTTTGTACTGAGACAGAATTTGGTCAGTACTGAGACATAATTTGGTCAGTACTGAGACAGAATTTGGTCAGTACTGAGACATAATTTGGTTTGTACTGAGACATAATTTGGTTTGTACTGAGACATAATTTGGTCAGTACTGAGACATAATTTGGTTTGTACTGAGACATAATTTGGTCAGTACTGAGACATAATTTGTCAGTACTGAGACATAATTTGGTTTGTACTGAGACATAATTTGGTTTGTACTGAGACATAATTTGGTTTGTACTGAGACATAATTTGGTTTGTACTGAGACATAATTTGGTTTGTACTGAGACAGAATTTGGTCCAGTACTGAGACAGAATTTGGTCAGTACTGAGACATAATTTGGTTTGTACTGAGACATAATTTGGTTTGTACTGAGACAGAATTTGGTCAGTACTGAGACATAATTTGGTTTGTACTGAGACATAATTTGGTTTGTACTGAGACATAATTTGGTTTGTACTGAGACATAATTTGGTCAGTACTGAGACAGAATTTGGTCAGTACTGAGACATAATTTGGTTTGTACTGAGACAGAATTTGGTCAGTACTGAGACAAAATTTGGTCAGTACTGAGACATACAGTCAAACGTGTATTAAGCGACCAGGCAAGGGAAACACCAAAAACGGTCGCTTAATGAAACGGTCTCTTAAGACAGTCAGCATGTTATAAAAGTCAAAATTTATAAATGACATCTTTTTTATTCGATGGGATTGTTTTTCAACTTCATTTTTATATAAATGTTGAATAATAAGTACGCTCCGATAATCTAAACGGATTCAAATGTAAAAATAACGTTCTGATATTTATTGACAAAATCAGTTTTGATCCATTACGTACATGTTTGACATTTTTTCCAGAATTTTTTAACTTCTCCGTTGTTATTCCTTGTCTCCAACACGAAAACCCTATTAGTGAAGATGTTTTCTGTTGTGCATTTTTTCATATGAAATAAACAAACTACATCTATTTGTTACGATTAATTTAATGGCTGATCAAGTTCAAGGTCAATTCAATGCAGTCTAAATGTCAACAAGCAAAGCGTATACACCATCTCAGTATGGGCGGAGCGTTGCATTGTTTATCCGATATTATTGGATAATACACGTCACGCGTATACTTAACTTCATTTGCATACGCTAAAACGGTATGGGAAATAGAGTTTTTCACACGTTTATTGTTGTGTTTTGATTGCTGACACTTGTGACATAACGAGGTGGCGTTCTCTAAAAACACAATTACTTGACAGGTAAAAGTGGTCGTTTAATGAAAAGATTGATGTCAATTAGGTGACTAATTAGCGGTCGCTGGTCGCGTTGAGCAAAAGTCGCTTAATACATTAAAGATATAGAGAGAAAATGATCGGGGGGAATTTAAAGTGGTCGTTTAAGACAAAAGTCGCTTAATACACGTGGTCGCATGGGCAAGTTAGACTGTAATTTGGTTTGTACTGAGACAGAATTTGGTCAGTACTGAGACATAATTTGGTTTGTACTGAGACATAATTTGGTCAGTACTGAGACATAATTTGGTTTGTACTGAGACATAATTTGGTTTGTACTGAGACAGAATTTGGTTTGTACTGAGACATAATTTGGTTTGTACTGAGACATAATTTGGTTTGTACTGAGACATAATTTGGTCAGTACTGAGACATAATTTGGTTTGTACTGAGACATAATTTGGTTTGTACTGAGACATAATTTGGTTTGTACTGAGACATAATTTGGTTTGTACTGAGACAGAATTTGGTCAGTACTGAGACAGAATTTGGTTTGTACTGAGACATAATTTGGTTTGTACTGAGACATAATTTGGTTTGTACTGAGACAGAATTTGGTTTGTACTGAGACAGAATTAGGTCAGTACTGAGACATAATTTGGTTTGTACTGAGACATAATTTGGTTTGTACTGAGACAGAATTTGGTTTGTACTGAGACATAATTTGGTTTGTACTGAGACATAATTTGGTTTGTACTGAGACATAATTTGGTTTGTACTGAGACATAATTTGGTCAGTACTGAGACATAATTTGGTCAGTACTGAGACAGAATTTGGTTTGTACTGAGACATAATTTGGTTTGTACTGAGACATAATTTGGTCAGTACTGAGACAGAATTTGGTCAGTACTGGGACAGAATTTGGTTTGTACTGAGACATAATTTGGTCAGTACTGAGACATAATTTGGTTTGTACTGAGACATAATTTGGTTTGTACTGAGACATAATTTGGTCAGTACTGAGACATAATTTGGTTTGTACTGAGACAGAATTTGGTTTGTACTGAGACATAATTTGGTCAGTACTGAGACATAATTTGGTTTGTACTGAGACATAATTTGGTTTGTACTGAGACATAATTTGGTTTGTACTGAGACATAATTTGGTCAGTACTGAGACAGAATTTGGTCAGTACTGGGACAGAATTTTGGTTTGTACTGAGACATAATTTGGTTTGTACTGAGACATAATTTGGTTTGTACTGGAGACATAATTTGGTCAGTACTGAGACATAATTTGGTTTGTACTGAGACATAATTTGGTCAGTACTGAGACATAATTTGGTTTGTACTGAGACATAATTTGGTTTGTACTGAGACATAATTTGGTTTGTACTGAGACATAATTTGGTTTGTACTGAGACATAATTTGGTTTGTACTGAGACAGAATTTGGTTTGTACTGAGACAGAATTTGGTTTGTACTGAGGGACAGAATTTGGTTTGGTACTGAGACAGAATTAGGTCAGTACTGGAACAAAATTTGGTCAGTACTGAGACAGAATTTGGTCAGTACTGAGACATAATTTGGGGTTTGTACTGAGACATAATTTGGTTTGTACTGAGACAGAATTTGGTTTGTACTGAGACATAATTTGGTTTGTACTGAGACATAATTTGGTTTGTACTGAGACATAATTTGGTTTGTACTGAGACATAATTTGGTCAGTACTGAGACATAATTTGGTCAGTACTGAGACAGAATTTGGTTTGTACTGAGACAGAATTTGGTCAGTACTGAGACAGAATTTGGTTTGTACTGAGACAGAATTAGGTTTGTACTGAGACATAATTTGGTTTGTACTGAGACATAATTTGGTTTGTACTGAGACATAATTTGGTTTGTACTGAGACATAATTTGGTCAGTACTGAGACATAATTTGGTCAGTACTGAGACAGAATTTGGTTTGTACTGAGACAGAATTTGGTCAGTACTGAGACAGAATTTGGTTTGTACTGAGACAGAATTTGGTTTGTACTGAGACAGAATTTGGTCAGTACTGGAATAGAATTTGGTCAGTACTGAGACAGAATTTGGTCAGTACTGAGACATAATTTGGTTTGTACTGAGACAGAATTTGGTTTGTACTGAGACAGAATTTGGTTTGTACTGAGACATAATTTGGTTTGTACTGAGACATAATTTGGTCAGTACTGAGACATAATTTGGTCAGTACTGAGACAGAATTTGGTCAGTACTGAGACATAATTTGGTCAGTACTGAGACAGAATTTGGTTTGTACTGAGACATAATTTGGTTTGTACTGAGACATAATTTGGTTTGTACTGAGACATAATTTGGTCAGTACTGAGACAGAATTTGGTTTGTACTGAGACAGAATTTGGTTGGTACTGAGACAAAATTTGGTTTTGTACTGAGACATAATTTGGTCAGTACTGAGACATAATTTGGTTTGTACTGAGACATAATTTGGTCAGTACTGAGACATAATTTGGTTTGTACTGAGACATAATTTGGTTTGTACTGAGACAGAATTTGGTTTGTACTGAGACAGAATTTGGTTGGTACTGAGACAGAATTAGGTCAGTACTGAGACAGAAATTTGGTTTGTACTGAGACAGAATTTGGTCAGTACTGAGACATAATTTGGTCAGTACTGAGACATAATTTGGTCAGTACTGAGACAGAATTTGGTTTGTACTGAGACAGAATTTGGTTTGTACTGAGACATAATTTGGTTTGTACTGAGACATAATTTGGTCAGTACTGAGACAGAATTTGGTCAGTACTGAGACATAATTTGGTTTTGTACTGAGACATAATTTGGTTTGTACTGAGACAGAATTTGGTTTGTACTGAGACATAATTTGGTTTGTACTGAGACAGAATTTGGTCAGTACTGAGACAGAATTTGGTCAGTACTGAGACATAATTTGGTTTGTACTGAGACATAATTTGGTCAGTACTGAGACAGAATTTGGTTTGTACTGAGACAGAATTTGGTCAGTACTGAGACATAATTTGGTTTGTACTGAGACATAATTTGGTCAGTACTGAGACAGAATTTGGTTTGTACTGAGACAGAATTTGGTTTGTACTGAGACAGAATTTGGTTTGTACTGAGACATAATTTGGTTTGTACTGAGACATAATTTGGTTTGTACTGAGACAGAATTTGGTTTGTACTGAGACAGAGTTTTGGTCAGTACTGAGACATAATTTGGTTTGTACTGAGACATAATTTGGTTTGTACTGAGACATAATTTGGTTTGTACTGAGACAGAATTTGGTTGGTACTGAGACAGAATTTGGTCAGTACTGAGACAGAATTTGGTTTGTACTGAGACATAATTTGGTTTGTACTGAGACAGAATTTGGTTTGTACTGAGACATAATTTGGTTTGTACTGAGACATAATTTGGTTTGTACTGAGACATAATTTGGTTTGTACTGAGACATAATTTGGTTTGTACTGAGACAGAATTTGGTTGGTACTGAGACAGAATTTGGTCCAGTACCAGAACAGAATTTAGTAAGTACTGGGACAGAATTTGGTCAGTACTGGAATAGAATTTGGTCAGTACTGGGACAGAATTTGGTCAGTACTAGGACAGAATTTGGTCAGTACTTTGACAGACTTTGGTCAGTACTAGGACAGAATTTGGTCAGTACTTTGACAGACTTTGGTCAGTACTGAAATAGAATTTGGTCAGTACTGGAATAGAATTTGGTCAGTACTGGGGCAGAATTTTGCCAGTACTGGAATAGAATTTGGTCAGTACTGAGACATAATTTGGTTGGTACTGAGACATAATTTGGTTTGTACTGAGACATAATTTGGTCAGTACTGAGACATAATTTGGTTTGTACTGAGACATAATTTGGTTTGTACTGAGACATAATTTGGTTTGTACTGAGACATAATTTGGTTTGTACTGAGACAGAATTTGGTTGGTACTGAGACAGAATTAGGTCAGTACTGAGACATAATTTGGTTTGTACTGAGACATAATTTGGTTTGTACTGAGACATAATTTGGTTTGTACTGAGACATAATTTGGTTTGTACTGAGACATAATTTGGTCAGTACTGAGACAGAATTTGGTCAGTACTGAGGCATAATTTGGTCAGTACTGAGACATAATTTGGTTTGTACTGAGACATAATTTGGTTTGTACTGAGACAGAATTTGGTTGGTACTGAGACAGAATTTGGTCAGTACCAGAACAGAATTTAGTAAGTACTGGGACAGAATTTGGTCAGTACTGGAATAGAATTTGGTCAGTACTGAGACATAATTTGGTCAGTACTGAGACATAATTTGGTTTGTACTGAGACATAATTTGGTTTGTACTGAGACAGAATTTGGTTGGTACTGAGACAGAATTTGGTCAGTACCAGAACAGAATTTAGTAAGTACTGGGACAGAATTTGGTCAGTACTGGAATAGAATTTGGTCAGTACTGGGACAGAATTTGGTCAGTACTGGAATAGAATTTGGTCAGTAATTGGACAGACTTTGGTCAGTACTAGGACAGAATTTGGTCAGTACTAGGACAGAATTTGGTCAGTACTGAAATAGAATTTGGTCAGTACTGGAATAGAATTTGGTCTGTACTGGGGCAGAATTTTGCCAGTACTGGAATATAAATTGGTCAGTACCGCAAACACATGTTTTATGTTTTAATAATAGATAATTATATTGCATGTTAGGATTAATGGGCATTTAATGTTTTTATATAATCAAGGTTTCTACAACCAAGGAGACTTTTCAAGATTTATCATTACCAATTCCATCAAAGGATCATTTGCATATGTTACATTCAACAAGTCATAACTCGGGACAAAAGGGCGGAGCATGTAGTGAGGTACATCAAGGATGGTTGCAATGGATGGTAGAGTGGATGAGAAGGTGAGATTTTGAAACAACTGGTCTCAAAGTTATAAAACTTATTTTCTGATTTCTGTCTCAGATCTCAGGTTTTTCATTGGTTATTGTACATTCCGTGACAGTTTCTGACCAATCAAATACATGGGATCTGAGTGTGAACTTGGAGAATTACTTTATAACTTTGAACCCTGTCCCCCATGAATCTTTGTGTGATACTGTAACCAATTAAGTGCATAACATTCTTTTATAGTTATTCTGTAAAATTTGGTGAAAATGTCCCATCACCAGTATTGTGTGGGACTGTATCAATTAAGTACATAACATTCTATTATAGTTCTTTGGTAAGATTTGGGGCAAACTTCTCCTCATGAATCGTTTTGTAGGAAGGTTACCTTATTTTGGGTATAACATTCTATGTTAGAATTTTGGTAAGATTTGGTCACCACTTCTCCTCATGAATCTTTTTGTAGGACTGTTACCTAATTCGGTGTATAACATTCTATAATAGAACTTTGGAAAGATTTGGCGCCAACTTCCCCTCATAAATCTGTGCATTTAACATTCCATGATTTCCCACTTGAAAAAAAAATATGGGAACAGTAAAATCCCTTATATCACTTTGAATGATATACCCCTTCTATTGATGCTGTTGCCATGATCCCCACTCTTGTTAACCAGGTTTTCAATTTTGAAAATCCTGGTTATTAGATTGGGGTATGGCGGGCGGATGGGCGGGCGGGCGTCAAACGAAATTGTGTCCGCTCTGTAACTCTTCAACCCTTTGAAGAATTTTGATGAAACTTCAGACAAATGTTTACCACATCAAGATGACGTGCAGAACGCATGTTCCGCATGGCTGGCTCCAAGGTCAAGGTCACAGTGACATTAACATTGAAAATCCTGTCCGCTCTGTAACTCTTCAACCCTTTGAAGAATTTTGATGAAACTTCAGACAAATGTTTACCACATCAAGATGACGTGCAGAACGCATGTTCCGCATGGCTGGCTCCAAGGTCAAGGTCACAGTGACATTAACATTGAAAATCCTGTTTACATGATTTTAACTTGATTTGGCAGTCAAAGGTCATATCATCTTTGGAGGTAATTTAAAAAAGATATGATATATTATTTCATGTCTACTTTGTAACTTGTTTTTCATTATACAGAATTATCAATATAATTATAGTGAACAAATTCTTCTGTGCTGAACTCGTCCTACATTTCTCAACGGATTTTGTTCAAACTTTCACAGAAGCTTTGTCATCAAGCACCCTGGCACATATTGTCGGGGTTTTGTGATTGGATAGTTTTTGACCTAATTATGGCCCTTTGTTTTTTTCCTTATACATAATATTATAGTGAACACTTCTTCAGTGGCAATTCCTCCTACATTATTCATGTTTTACATTGCACATAGTTACATTGTTTGTTGCTTGTATTTGTATTTCAAATACAACATATTTATCTACAATGGTGATAATTGAAAACCTGGTTTCATGGCATTGCCATGTTTCTTGTTTTCAAATTAGTTGCCTCTTTGATATAACGATATTCGGATCTGAAGATATAAATTCGATGTTCCCCTGAATATTGTTATAAGTGGAGTTTACTGTATATTGTTGATCTTCAGTTTGGACATGTATGTTTTTTCTTTTGTAAAAAAAGGGACAACCATGTTATGTATAACATTGTTCAAACTTCCATATTTCAAATTTTTACTTGAAAATTTCTATAAATCTTATTCTTATCTTGATTTGCGACACGGGAGATGACGAAGAGTGGAACTGTATCGCCTAGTTAGCTCACCTGTCACAAAGTGACAGGGTGAGCTTTTGTGATCGCTTTTCGTCCGGCGTACGTCCGTCCGTCGTCCGTCCGTAAACTTTTACTTTAAATGACATCTCCTCATAAACCACTAAGCCAATTTCATCCAAACTTCACAGGAATGTTCCTTTGGTGGTCACCTTTAAAAATTGTTCAAAGAATTTAATTCCCTGCAGAACTCTGGTTGCCATGGCAACCAAAAGAAAAAACTTTAAATATCTTCTTTTAAAGAACCCAAAGAGCTAGAGCTAAGATATTTAGCATGAAACATGTTCTAATGGGTGTCTACCAAGTTTGTTCAAATAAAAGCCCTGGGGTCAAAATTGGCCCCGCCCTGGGGGGGTCATTGATTTTCCCTATATGCATATAGTAAAAACTTAAAAAATCTTCTTTTAAAGAAACCAAAGAGCTAGAGCTAAGATATTTAGCATGAAACATGTTCTAATTGGTGTCTACCAAGTTTGTTCAAATAAAAGCCCTGGGGTCAAAATTGGCCCCGCCCCGGGGGGTCATTGATTTTCCCTATATGCATATAGTAAAAACTTAAAAATCTTCTTTTAAAGAACTCAAAGAGCTATGGCTAAGATATTGAGCATCAAACATGTTCTAATGGGTGTCTACCAAGTTTGTTCAAATAAAAGCCCTTGGGTCAAAATTGGCCCCGCCCCAGGGGGTCATTAATTTTCCCTATATGCATATAGTAAAAAACTTAAAAAATCTTCTTTTAAAGAACCAAAAGAGTTAGAGCTAAGATATTTAGCATGAAACATGTTCTAATAAGTGTCTACCAAGTTTGTTCAAATAAAAGCCCTGGGGTCAAAATTGGCCCCGCCCCGGGGGGTCATTGATTTTCCCTATATGCATATAGTAAAAACTTAAAAAATCTTCTTTTAAAGAACCAAAAGAGTTAGAGCTAAGATATTTAGCATGAAACATGTTCTAATAAGTGTCTACCAAGTTTGTTCAAATAAAAGCCCTGGGGTCAAACTTGGCCCCGCCCTGGGGGTCATTGATTTTCCCTATATGCATATAGTAAAAACTTAAAAAATCTTCTTTTAAAGAACTCAAAGAGCTATGGCTAAGATATTTAGCATCAAACATGTTCTAATAGGTGTCTACCAAGTTTGTTCAAATAAAAGCCCTGGGGTCAAAATTGGCCCCACCCCGGGGGTCATTGATTTTCTTTATATGTGTATAGCAAAAACTTAAAATCTTCTTTGAAAAAACCCAAATAGCTAGAGTTTGAATTTAAGCATGAAACATCTTCTAGTAAGTGTCTAGAAAGTTTGTTCAAATAAAAGCCCTGGGGTCAAAACTGGCCTGGCCCCAGGGGTGTCATTGTTTTTAACTATATGTTTATAGTAAAAACTTAAAAAAAATCTTCTTTTAAAAAGCCCAATGAGCTAAAGCTTAGATGTATAGCATGAAACATCTTCTTATGGATGTGCAAATAAAAGCCCTTGGGTTAAATTGGCCCTGCAACGTTGGGGGGGGGGTTGGGTATGGGACCAAATATACAGGTGAGCGACCTCAGGGCCATCATGGCCCTCTTGTTTTTCTATAGTCAAGAACTGTGTACAATTCTAGATCCAAATGGGTTCAAACCCCGTCAAGGGCAAGTAGTTGTTTCCTTGAGGAAGAAATTTTACACTCATTGCTCAGTAATGGTTGGTTCTAGGAATGGGTTTGAAAGTGTGTCTATAAGCTAATAGCTTCCTACTCAATCGAACTAAAATAAATTCTGAATAAACCAACTCTGGATCCCTATCCTACTGATGGCAACTTATTCTACCCATCGCACCCTTTGCAGACCATAATCAGCGGGCACATTAGCACAGTCTCATCATGGTCTGCGCTGACCACTGTTTACAAAGTTTTCCCTAAAAAATGATGAAATGGTTTTGTCCAGATTAAAGCATGAGCTAGTTCATTTAGTATATTTACCATTGTAGGTGATAAGGTCACTTATAAAGCCGTCCGGTTAGCTCAATAGGTAGAGCGTTGGACTGTGAATCTGGCTACCTGGGTTCGATTCCCGGACGGCACAGGTCATTTTGGTTGTGAATGATCATGAAATCCTTTCTATGGTCATTTGCACTGTACCTCTGCTCTGGCATGTACAGAAGTTTCAGTTCCTTGCGAAAGTAAAGGCAACTAGTACTGGTAAACTGTTTATGACAGCCTGCCCAGGACCAATGCGGTGGTTGAACTGTGCTTTTGTGAATTCAATGTGAGTTACCATCGTGATCTGGAGTGAAAACTACCAACGTGGTCACCATAGGTCACTTATTATTAGGAAGCTCTCATTATGCAACAATTGGTAGATTTCTAGTATTTTAATGTTGTTTGATTCATCTTTTATGTGTTTATATGTGTAGGTTTTTATGTTTATTAACATTCATGACAGTATGACTGGGGCATCCTGGTAATTTCTTTTTTTTTCAAAATTTTAGTTTTGTTTTGTTTTTCTTTTCACTTTTGTTGTAATTATGCTATCTTCATATGATTATATCGTTAATTACAGAAAAATGTATGACCACCAATTAAATACAAACCATTTCCCCATTCACACTTCACATTATAGTCAAGGTATAAGTGGTTTGTAAATTTTTACATGTAGAAAAATAACAGCTTAACAGTTCAGCTTATTTGGGCACAAGACCTGGTTTACATTCCCTCGATTCAGTTAAATCAACTTCATAGTGCTGTATATTTTTCTATGCCCCCTACCCCAAAATATTCTTGAAGGAGAATATAATATATAAAAGAATTTCAGGTCTGTCTGTCTTATATCTGTTGTTTCCTTTAAATTGTCCATAATCTTATGTTTAATATCATTTCCTTCTTATTAACTTATCCTTTCTCCCACCTGTCATTTCCTTGACATTTTCATTCTGTTTGTCGTTTCTTTCTAATTGTCTCCCATCTGTTGGGGCGTCCGTGGCCGAGTGGTTAAGGTTGTTGACTTCAAACCCCTCACCGCTGTGGGTTTGAATCCTGACAGGGACTTTGGATTCTTTCATGTGAGGAAGTTATCCAGCTAGCTTACGGAACGTCGGTGGTTCTACTCAGGTGCCCGTTCATGCCTGAAATAATGCACAGAGGGGCACCTGAGGTCTTCCTCCACCAGTAACGTTGGAACGTCGCGATGTGACCTATAATGTGTCGATGTGACGTAAAACCCAAAACAAACCAAAAAAAAAGTCTCCCATCTGTCAATTGCACAATGTAAGCATGATATATGCAATTATATAGAATAGAAATAAGTCAAGGAGGTAGTGACATCTATATTTGCTTGTCAATTATCAAATTTCTCTCACGGGTCAATAAATAGCACGTAATTTTTTTCAACGGACTCATATCCTGTTTATATCAGTTGTTAAGGGGTGCAACTGAGTAAGTCACACACATTCCATGTATCATCACCAGTTATCTATCCTGACTGCTAACCATTATAAGGCAAGTGTTGATATTTTGTGTATGTTAATGGCAATTTGAGGTTTAAAGTAAATGTGAATGAGAATCTTGTAATACTGTGTAAATGTTTATGGCCATTTTGAGATTATGTGTAAATGTTTATGGTTAACTGCAATGTTGAGATTCTGTGTTCATGTTTATGGCAATTTTAAGAGTCTATGTAAATGTTTATGGCAAATTTGAGATTCTGTGTAAATGTGAATGGCAAGTTTGGGATTCTGTGAAAAAGTTTATGGCAATTTGAGATTCTGTGTAAATGTTAATGGCAATTTGAGATTCTGTGAAAATGTTTATGCCAATTTTAAGATTCTATGTAAATGTTTACAGCAATTTTGAGATTCTATGTCAATGTTTATAGCAGTTTTGAGATTTTGTGTAAATGTTTACAGAATTTAGATTCTATGTAATTATTTACAGCAGATTGTGCATCTATGTACAAACTTTTGTTAAAGACATCCTCAGAATAAAGACCATCCTGTAGATAAATGCCACTTTTTAGCAACCTAAGGTTCTTTGGTGTAAAGCAATCAAAGTTACCTTTAAATAAAGTCCCAGTTTGGTCTCTCCTTTGTCTGACCTTTGTTCAAAGGTTTAACTGTAAGCATTAATGACCAGGCACTATTTCTATGGTAGATTTAGATCTTATGTTTAACTTATATTCTGTGTAAATATTTATAACAGCTTATGGCTGTATAAAGAACTATATGACAAACAAGATTTCTAGAGCTGTCATTGATAGAGATGGTATCGATGTATTGTTGATATTTTTCAGTTGATCAATAATCGATACACATTTGAAAAAATCGATAATTTTGATTGATTATTTTAATATCTATGAATCATGGAAATTCACCCAAAACATAATTTACAAAAGCAGGTGGCCATGTCTAACACTAAGCTGTTGTTACATAATGGACACATTTCAAAGCAGTGATGACAAAAAATGGTTATGAAAATATGAAAAGTCCTGCAAAGGACATTTATAAACAGGACACAACTTATTTGTATGAACAGAACATATAATTTACTAAAATCATTTAAACAGGCATGAAAGCGAATTATATACATGAAATTAGGAGTATAATTTGTCATCCTATATCGATGAATCGTGGTATTGACAATATTGTTATCGGATATCAGTATATCGTCAATATGCTTTGCTATGTATCAATGACACCTCTAATAATTTCTGTTCTTTTGGCAAATTTAGATTATATGTCAATGTTTAAGGTCATCAAGTTTAATAGAAAATTGATAATTCAAGAAAATGTTGATTGCACATAGAATTCTATGTAAATGGTAATGTAAAATTTAGAATCTTTGTAAAATTGCAAAATATAAAATTCTGTATACATTTTTATGGGTAATTATGATTGGATGTAAAAGATTATGTCAAATTTTAAAATTTGCAAACTTTTGAAATTCTGTATACATGTTTATGGGTAATTATGATTGGATGTAAATGATTATGTCAAATTTTAAAATTCTGTGTAAATGGTTTATATTTTCAGCTGGTTTTTGGGACCTGTAATCACTTTACAAGATTGTCTGGCTGCTTTCTTCTCAGCAGACGAGCTTAAAGGAGATAACATGTATAGCTGTGAAAAATGTAAAAAGTATGTACACATTGTTAAAGCCTCCAGATTCATGATTATTTTCTTGAAAATTTTGGAAATGTATTTAAAAGAGATGAACAAATAAAGCAATTTACATACATGTTTTGCAATTAGCACTTACAATCCAAGAAAATTACCAAAAAGTGGTCAACATATTCACAGACAGTCCTTCCTTCATTAGTAACGCAGAAGAAATATGGTAATAAAATAATGCCAAAGCAGTCCTATATCACATAATGACATATAACATGTAAAATATCACTTGGATCTTGATTGTTTTTACCTTTCTTAAAATTTTAGGAAATTTTTCTCAATATTGATTTTCTTGAAATATTTTGGCTCATCTGGAGGCGTACAGCTTTAAGCTTTCAATTTTTCTTTGTTTGCCATTGGCATTTTTATTGATTTATTGACTGACTTGAGATTTAATGATTTTGTGTAGTTTAAAACATTTCTTCATGTTTGCAAGATTTTATTTTTCAAAAAGCAGAAAATTTGACTACTTTAAGTCCACCATTAACAACATTTTGCACAAATGTTTCGTCATAAGGTCAAATTATAGCAGAATGTTTAGATTCATTTTGGTTTTCAATTTCTGAAGTCATAACAAGTCTACAGCTTATATTGTGATATTGGTACTGAAATACTTAGTTTAAAACAATACTGAATTGTTTCTCCAGAAGAAAATAAAAGCTGAAAGTTGCTTTAAAGTTAACCTTGCAGAAGGAGAGTTGCCACTGCCATGGTAACAGGGCAGTGTTTTACAGCAATATACTGGTATATTGTTTCACAACTTTAAATTTTTCATAACATATACTGGTTTTACATAAGGCGTTAATAAACTTTATCAAGTAACTTCAGTTCTCTTCTTGTTTTGTTTATAGGTTAAGAAATGGGTTGAAGTATTCCAAAGTTTTACAACTACCAGAGGTGAGTTAGATTAGTGTATGTGTAGTACTAAATATATTGAACAACTTGAATGAAATCATGGGGAGCATTTTATCGTTTTATTCAAAAGGTTCTATAAATTTAGTAATAAACCTACAGAGATATGATATTTTACATGTTTTTTTCAGTTTTTTGTCTTATTATTTTTAACTGGTTTTATATGGATTTATGATTCAGGATATTTGATTGATCCATCTCTGTGATATCAGTATTATGACAATAATTTGCTATGAATTATCTCTTACTGATTTATAGAAACACTCTTTATTTATAGATCGAGTCAAGCTATTGCATCATATAAATACCTTAGCTTCTATTTTGTTCAAGAAATGAACCTTGACCTAAGAATGTAGCTAATGGCTACATTAATGTGACAACTAAATTTCTGCTAAAGGGATATAGATTAGGTTCGAGAGTTTGAGCCATAGGTGTTCGAGCGATCTGAGGTAGAACTCAAAATATTATAAAGGAATTTTGCCAGGACTGGGCGATGAGTTCGAGCAAAGGGAGGTATTCAAGTGATCTTAGTTCAAGCAAACACAGTTTACTTGTAACTTAGTTACTATATGAGCAGCGTCACGACAAAACCAACATAGTGGGTTTGCGACCAGCATGGATCCAGACCAGCCTGCGCATCCGCGCAGTCTGATCAGCATTCATGCTGTTCGCTGTCAGTTTCTCCACTTGTAATAGAGTTGGTAAGCGGACAGCATGGATCCTGATCATACTGTGCGGATGCGCAGGCTGGTCTGGATCCATGCTGGTCGCAAACCCACTATGTTGGTTTTGTCGTGACGCAGCTCAATTATTGTTTTAAAAAATGAACCTTGACAAGAATGTAGCTAATGGCAGCATTAATATGACAACTATTTTGTTTCAGATATTAAGCATACACCTCAAGAGATTCAGACATGAGTTCTACTCATCCAAGATCGGCACTTATGTGTCCTTCCCCCTGACCAATCTAGACATGAAACCATACCTTCATAAAGGTAATCTTCTCTAAATATATATTACTACATTCTGCCCAAATTAGCAGAGTAGATATATTATCATTTTGGACTCTGGAAACTGATTTTGTAGACTTAATAACATGTATATTTTTTGTGTGAGATAATTATAATGAAGGTAGTATTTCAAATTCTGTTCCTACTCCAGTGTGATTTTCATCCAATTTGCATAGGAAAATTTTCAATTTTGTGTTAATGAATAGACCTGAGTAGTGGTGCTGAATCTAAGAAACACTCATCAGATTTCTGTTTTGCTTGAATTTCTGTCAACATTGCAAAATACACTGCCACACCGTCATGACTTTGCCTGTTATAATGCTAACCTCAGTATATGGCTCATATGACTTACCCCCAAATTCCCAAAACTTTAAATCGCCTATCTCAAATTAGAAGTACGGCAAATTCATTAAACAAATTAAACGGGTTAAGGGTTAAACAAAAACATTTTAAGGGACGTTAGAACATAATAAAAATTGTAATTTTATATCTTTAAGTTTTCTGATTAAAATATGGTAATTTCCAACTGTAAAGGTACTTAGTTTGATTTTTCCATTTTGTACGCCTTGTGGGCAAGTTGTGACTGGACGGTATTTTACATGGTTATTTTAGGGTAAAATGTAAGTAAATGTAAATAAATTCCTTAGGTTCTGCAGATTATCATTGAAATTAAAGGAATATTTTAACCTTGCTTCAACTGATGCTACCAATGGGAACAGCGAGGCCACGATCAGCTTGGACATCTGTTCCGTCTGACCACGTACTGTTCATTATTCAGTTCACTATTCAGTCGGTTCTTACTTTTAAATTTTCCCTATAAATGATAACATATATGAACCGATCTCACCTATATATGAACTTTCAAAAATAACAGACAACAACACAACCTTGTTACAAGATGAATTGGGACAATTCTACAATAAAATTGAACAGATTATAAACGTTTGTTCTATTTGCAATATTTTTCCCATAAATAACAAGTGTAATTGCAATAGTCAACAATTCTGGAACACTGTCAATTAATTTTGGCTAATGTTCTAAATGTTACTATAATGAGTAACAAATTTTCTATATTTAGTAACATCTGACAAAAGTGTAGCATCTTTTTTTATACCTTAGCTCTATTATTTGTAAAGTTGAAATTGATAACCTGAAGAAGGGTACATAGCACCGGAAACTGGTAGTTATAACAAATTTATAAACCGACCTGGTGTTTTGATATGTTGTTCTCCCCTCCCAATCTTTTAATTTATTGGTTTATTATTTGTTATTCAGATCATGTAAGCAATGTAACAGTCTATGATCTTGTAGCAGTGATCTGTCACCATGGAACAGCTGGAGGTTAGTATTAATTCTTATACTGCTGGTTCCATGTTCACAAAGCTTAAATTGCTGGTTCCGTGTTCACAAAACTTATATTGCTCGTTCCATGTTCACAAAGCTTAAATTGCTGGTTCCGTGTTCACATTGATTAAATTGCTGGTTCCGTGTTCACAAAGCTTATATTGCTGGTTCCATGTTCACAAAGCTTAAATTGCTGGTTCCGTGTTCACAAAGCTTATATTGCTTGTTCCATGTTCACAAAGCTTAAATTGCTTGTTCCGTGTTCACAAAGATTAAATTGCTTGTTCCATGTTCACAAAGATTAAATTGCTGGTTCTGTGTTCACAAAGATTAAATTGCTTGTTCCGTGTTCACAAAGCATAAATTGCTGGTTCAGTGTTCACAAAGCTTAAATTGCTTGTTCCGTGTTCACAAAGATTAAATTGCTTGTTCCATGTTCACAAAGATTAAATTGCTGGTTCTGTGTTCACAAAGCTTAAATTGCTTGTTCCGTGTTCACAAAGATTAAATTGCTTGTTCCGTGTTCACAAAGCTTAAATTGCTGGTTCAGTGTTCACAAAGCTTAAATTGCTGGTTCCATGTTCACAAAGCTTAAATTGCTGGTTCCGTGTTCACAAAGATTTAAGGATCAGGACCAAGATCAGGATCAAATTTTCATACTCAAATATTCCCCATTGTTTATCATCATAGATTAAATGTTTTAATAGCAACTTGATAAAACAGGACTTGAAATAGCATGTTTATGTAATTTTAGAATAAATTTATTGTTAGTTTTTACAGTTGATCCAAATATTGATCTTGATCCTAAAAACGTTCTTATTTTGATCCAGTTATTTTTGTATTTGTTTTATTATTTATTGATATTTATTCCCAAAATAGGTTGGTTTCTTTGCAAATCGGCAATTATATACACTGAATATGTACCATTTAATGCTAGCATAATAAGATCAATTTTAGTTTTATTAAACAATGAAAATAAAATCAGGATTATTTGATCCTGATCCTGATCTTTTCTTAGGGAACTGTTGGCCAGGTTACGATTACGCCTTTGTCACCTATATAGAGCCAGGCTAGCCTTGATAAATCAACATTGTTTAAGGCCATGCATATTGATGTGTAATATATTATTTCAAATTTTATGTTTAAAGTTTTTGATTCTCGGAGGAGTTTCTTTTAATGTGGTTATAGTTTAACATTACACAGCATATAAACAATTTTATGTGTGACTTTAGGTGGTCATTACACAGCATATAAACAATTATGTGTGACTTTAGGTGGTCATTACACAGCATATAAACAATTTTATGTGTGACTTTAGGTGGTCATTACACAGCATATAAACAATTTTATGTGACTTTAGGTGGTCATTACACGGCATATAAACAATTTTATGTGTGACTTTTTGGGTCATTACACAACAAATTATATATATTTGGGTCATTACACAACAAATTATATATATAAACAATTTTATGTGTGACTTGAGGTGTTGATTACACAGCATATAAACAATTTTATGTGTGACTTTAGGTGGTCATTATACAGCATATTGTCAGAATGTGCTAACAGAACATTGGTATGAGTTTGATGATCAGTATGTGACAGAAGTGGACGTAAACCAGGTCATCAACTGTGAGGCTTATGTCCTCTTTTATAGGTAATTTATTTAAATCTACTATTTTAGCTTGACTTTACAAAGAGCTGTCCTATTCACTCCTGTGTCAGACTGTCGGCATCAAAATTCAGATTGAAGTTTATCTGCAATAAAATACATTTTATTTCTTGATATTTCAACCTTCAAATATATATACCTTATCACCTTATGTGACAAATTATAACTAGTAGCAATATTTCCAGATTTATTTTCAATCTGGAAACAGTTAATTAATAATTATCTACTACACAAACTTTTCTATCTCCAACGTTTCGAGGGGTTAAACCCCTCTTTTTCAAGGAGTTTCTGTTTATTTTTATATAAATCACATATTTATCTTCTTACATCTCTTATCTTAAACATAACATAGTTTAAGATAAGAGATGTAAGAAGATAAATATGTGATTTATATAAAAATAAACAGAAACTCCATGAAAAAGAGGGGTTTAACCCCTTGAAACGTTGGAGATAGAAAAGTTTGTGTAGACTAGTAGATAAATAAAAAATTCCAGATTTATCTCCTTATTTTTCAAAGGATTTACTTTAAACTTTAAGTTTCATAAAAACCCTTACTGTATAAGTGGATATTTATGGGTCACAAAATTTTGCGAATGCCAAAAAGTGGACTTTTTGCATTTGAAAATAATTGCCAAAATATGATTTCTCAAATGTAATTTTTTTTGTGTGTATCATTCTTTCAGTACATGCTTAGAATATGCTGTAATTGTAATTGTTCTATTCAGTTGTTTAATATCTTTATTACTTATATAATTGTTTGAAATATACATTGTTAGTTTGATAATGGACTTGATCACACATTTTTTGTCATATTTTTTTTTGAAACATACTTTTGTTATAACCTTTTGTGTTATAAGCATATAAATTGAGCGGTGTCATGACAAAACCAACATAGTAGTTTTGCGACCAGCATGGATCCAGACCAGCCTGCGCATCCGCGCAGTCTGATCAGGATCCATGCTGTTCGCTATCAGTTTCTCTACTTGCTATAGGGTTTGTAAGCGAACAGCATGGATCCTGATCAGACTGCGTGGATGCGCAGGCTGGTCTTGATCCATGCTGGTCGCAAACCCACTATGTTGGTTTTGTCATGACACGGCTCATTATTGTTTCATGAAACCATTTGTGATTTGTTAAAGCTGCACACCTCCAGATGAGCCAAAATATTTTTAAAAAATTCATTTTTTAGAAAAATGTATAATTGAGATCTTAAGAAAAGTAAAATATTAAAAGGTTCAATATTATATTAATTATTTATTAAATATGTTATGTGCGCTTAATGACTGATTTTGCAGTATTAATCACTATAATTCTACTGCATTACTAATGCAGTAAGAGGTATTTATGTATATTTTGACCTCTTTTAGGTAATTTACGTGGTTTGTAAGTGCTGTTTGCAATATGTAAATTACTTTCTTTGTTCACTTCACAATATTTTACTTTTAAATAAATTTTCAAAATTTTCATGAAAATTAGCATGAATCTGGAGGCATGCTGTTTTAAGACCAAACCTAAACAAAAAAGCAATGAGAAAAATTAATCTTAGTACCCAAATAGTCAAACTTATTCATGTAAGATGTTGTATGAAAACTTGTTTTGAAATGAAAAAGAGAATTTGCCTTAAAAGAAATAACTTTTGCGTGATCAAATATTTGCGAATAATTTTAATATTTGTAAATATTTCCATGTTGCAAAATTAACCACTTATATAGTATATCATAAAATAATGATAAGATTCATGACTTTGTCATCAATACTTTTCAGAATTATCTAATAATTCAGCCAAACTTCACAGGAGTGATCAGTACTATCCCTAGTTGTGCATATCGCCAGCACATTCCACTTTGTTGTACAAAATGGCCACCAGTGCTATAAATAGAAAAATCTTGTCTGGTTTTCACAGGTGATATACTTGTGGGATTTCAACCAAACTTCAAAGGAGTGATCAGTACTATCCCTAGTTGTGCATATCGCCAGCACGTTCCACTTTGCTGCACAAAATGGCCACCAGTGCTATAAATAGAAAATCATGTCCGACTTTCGAGATAGAACTGCTGGTTAGATTACAATGAAACTTCATATAAGTGATCATTACCATCCCTAGTTGTGCATATCCCAGGTATTTTCTGCTTCACTGCACAAAATGGCCCCCAGGGCTTAAAATAGAAAAATTCTGTCCGGCTATTACAGGTCAAACTTCTGGCGGGATTTCCACCAAACTTCACAGGAGTGATCAGAACCATACATGGTTTTTGGAGAAATATGTTTTGTGACAAAGACCCTTCAAGTTTATTAGTGTTTTCTTACCTGAAATGTCATGAAATGATTTATTTGTGTATTCATGTTTGGCATGTTATAAATGACTTTTTATTGTTGCAGGAAACAAAATGACCACATGAATAGTGTAAGACAAGAGGCTATGGAATTGATGAATAAAAGAGAGGTAAAAAACTTACAAACCAATATTTCTTGTAGGGTTGCTTACCTGTATTATGTGTCATTAAAGTACCAAAAAGCCTTTTACAAAGTATTTAGATATGATCTTTAATGTAGTCATCTAGGCTACCAAGATATTATATAATTAATTGATTTAACCCTCACCATCCAAAATATTTTCAATGGACTTGTCCATCTTTAAATCTGAAAAAAATTATTTTTAGTCATTATTTAAAATACACTGCAGCCCCGCTATAACGCGCCCCTGAATTAAGAAAAACAAAAAAGCCCAAAATAAATTTTAAAAATCCTCCTTTTTCTATCAAACTGCTGAGTCACGAAATAAATGGCGTTTGAATAACAAAGGGACACAACTAAAGCTGGAAGCTATAACTACAACTGTTTTAGCTGACAAAAATTTTCTGTTTCTTTTAAATATAATTACATGAAGTATTATTTGATAATATAATATATGTTTTCATTATTAAATTTTTTTAGAATGAATTAATTTTGATATTTATTGAACAGTAAGTAAAAATCCTTAGCACTATATGTATGGGGTGTGGGTGGGGTAATTACGCAATGATTGTTGTATATCAGAACCTCCTTATAGCCCTGTGTTGAGACCCAAACATGAGCGTTATAATGGGGATGCAGTGTATGTACCAACTGAATAGCCAAAAGTGCACATCATGTCACATAAAAATAGAATACAGTACAGGTTCAATTTTTGATGTGCGATATGTGTTTAAGACATAGTATAATGTTTATAGCAAAATGTATCAGTGTTATATAATAAAAATTCAATATTTTCAGCCAAGTTAATAAAAACTCATTATTTTCAGCCAAGTTAAGAAAAACTCAATATTTTCAGCCAAGTTAATAAAAACTCCATATTTTCAGCCAAGTTAATAAAAACTCAATATTTTCAGCCAAGTTTGATGCATTTCTTTGTATCAAAGCAGTGGATTAACAGATTTAACACCTTTGCAGAACCAGGACCAATCACAAACCAGGATTTTCTGTGTCCACATGGTGGTATGTATACATGAAATAAAGTGCTTCAAGGGGTAACCCCTTGTAAAATAATGACTCCATATAGTGTATTAATTGTCAAAGTTATAGATTGATAGAGATACATGTTTGACACCTCAATTGCTAAGTAGATTGATCGAGGCACATGTCTGGCACATCATAAATTGCTAGAGACCTGTTATTCCTGAATAAATTCAATGTAGATTGACCACACATGTCATTCCTCATTAATTAATTTGTAGGTCTTTATATCAGAGCATCAGTGGCCGAGTGGGTAAGGTCATTGACTTCAAACCATTTGCCCCTCACCGCTGTGGGTTCAAATCTCAACAGGGACTTTGGATGCTATCCAGCTAGCTTATGGAACGTTGGTGGTCCTGCTCTAGTGCCCGTTCATACCTGAAATAATGCACAGAAGGGCATCTTAGGTATTCCTCCACTTGTAAAGCTTGAACGTCGCCATATGACCTATACTGTGTCAGTGTGACATAAAATCCCAATCAAACAAACAAAGATCTGTATATTATCAAATTACTACAGATATTTTTTGTTTGTTTCATGTCTATGTTTTCCACCATTATGAACCATTTGTTGGCATGACCATAATTATATGTATGTACTACATAATGCCAATAACATTTATATTTTGTTATTTATTGTTGACAAATACACGACTGGTAAACTTATCTATATATTGTTTAAAAGTTACCAATGAGGGTAAACTTATCTATAATTTTTTTAAAGGGTTTTCCCCCAAGAAAAACTGAGTATTGGTGACGGGTAAAAAGACAAAGCCATGGGGGAGTTTCTAATCAAAGGTAAATATGAGCCCATCATGACCAAACCAAATAGTACGTTTGTGCCCAGATGGAAGACAACTACATCAGGGCAGTCTGATAGGGGTCCTCTGTTCGCTATAGTTTTTCTACTTTAATAGAGTTGGAAGCGGAAGATGGATCCCGATCAGATGCGGGATGCTTTGGGTCTGTGCTGGGCCAAACCACTATTTTAGTTTGTCATTGCACGGCTAATATATATCTGATTTTGTTACATAAGTATTAAAGTTTTGTCCCTTGTGGCATTAAAGAGTTAAGGCGTAAAAATTGCAGAACCCAGAACTGCAGAATTCTTTATCCCTGTGAGGTTGTAATAGGTGACTAAACGAGTTTTGAATATCTAGATTCCCTGCAGCTCTTAGCTCCAGCATGTGAGATGGTTTAGACCACTTGTGTTCCTTTAAAGTTTACCACTACAACTTACCTTGTAACTATTTCTTTGAAGTTATAACATTTAAATTGAGAAATATACCATAAAAAGACCATGCAATAGTGAATTCCATGCACATGGGTAGTTAAAAACCCACAATGTAAAAATAAATTGTTATTTGTGTGAGGTTCTGTTCGTTTAAGACAATCAAAATTCAAGAATTTCATTTGCATTATGATAAATGGTCATATAAACATGTAGAAAATTCTGTATAATTGTATCTCATACAGGTTTGGTGGAGGTCCTCGTGTAATCATTTTTCCATGCACAACATGTCATAAAGAGCTAGAGACTTTACGAAACAGGCAGAAAACTGAACTGGAGGAGTTTATAAAAGGTATTTATTTTGTCACATTTTTTAACCCTATTTACTGATAAAAAACAGATAAGAAAAAGAACTGTTTTGTTTGATCTCTTGCAGTTGAATCCCCTAAGTGGCTTTCTTGAATAGTAAGTTCATGTAACCACTGTTAGTGACCGACTACTGTGTATTGTGTTAGCTTCATTTTGATACTATATAAAAGTATTTTTCAGATTTTCAGCTTAATCTGTCATTGATGGAAAAGATATTGATATATATCATAGACATTTTTCTGTTGAATCAATAATTGATTATTGATACATATCTGAAAAAATTGATCAATGATGGCTCTATTTCAGCATATTGTGTAAAGTCTGAATGCATATTTGCTGTGTAGAATAAAGTTAGCATATTGTGTAAATTATATTTTGCTAAGTATATTCCCCAGATTTTAGTGTGTAAAAATTATCGTAATAATATTTGCTTAGTCAATTTTCTTTTTTTGCATGATTGTTGCATAAAGTAAAGTTATCATATTATTGGCATATTTTGCATAATTGTTGCGTAAAATCAAATAGGCATACTTTTTTTTGTAAAGTAAAGTAATCTTATTATTGGCATATTTTGCATAATTGTTGTGTAAAATCAAGTAATCATATTAATGGCATATTTTTTTGTGTAACGTAAAGTTATCATATATTATTGGCATATTTTGCATAATTGTTCTGTAAAGTAAAGTGATCATATTATTGGCATACTTTTTGTGTAAAGTAAAGTAATCATATTATTGACATATTTTCAGTTAAATGAAAGGTTTAAGGAAGAAGATAATCCTAGCGTGATTTATGCTATCAGTATGTCGTGGTTTAAGGAGTGGGAAAACTTTGTAAGAGAAAAGAGGACAGTACGTATAAACAATATTTAAAAAAAAAGATTATAAAGAAAAATAAATCGAGATTGGAACCCACAGCAATCATAACTAAACTGAAAATCAATATTTATTGTGATTCTTAGAGTGATTTAAGTTATAAGGGTTTAAATGTTTCGTACTTTGGTCATGTAGCACAACAAAAATGATCAGTATTGACAAAATGGCGTGAGTGAAATGATCTACAATGTTGCTCATAAGTTCATGGTTAAGACCAACATTAAATAGTTAAAAAAATTCAAAAAAAAAAAAAATTCTGATCCTAACAATTAAAAAAAAGAACACTCAGTGAGTCCCTTCAAAATCTCCAACTTTAAATCTTGTGACCTTCATAGTTATAGATTTTAATTGTTCAAGGTCTTTGTGTTTTTGCATGACATTAGGTTAACCAACTAGGTTACGATTTTTAAGGGCTTGAAATAAGCATTGAAGGGGAGCGGTTACCTAGTTGTTAAGGTGTCTGCCCCTCAAACAAGAAATCTTAGATTCAAGCCCTACTCAGGTCACGACAATGTTTCTTCGTATGACATTAATACTGGTTGGTTCCAGGAAGCGGACTCAAAAATGTTGCAAGAACTTGTTTCGCAATCAAGCTTAAATAAATATGTTTAAACCAAACTAAGCATGCAGTAGCATTTGTGGTTTTTAAGTTTTCTAGTATAAGTTGAAAAGATATCATTTGACAGTATCTGCTTTGTTTAAAAAACACCAAATGTGTTATCTGTATTTTCATCAACTTTGTGTAAGTGGGTTAGAGTCGATGACTTCTAATAGTTACCTCTCTGGCGTGGATTTCGATCCCGAGAATACTTTGGTAGTTTGCAGGGAGCAAAGGTTTGTCTAGTACTGGTGTAACTCTCCAGGAACGATGGTTAGGAAACTACCTGCCTATATGACTGAAATACTGTTGGGGAAAGGGCGAAAAAATAAAAACAACAGAACAAAATCAACTTGTTTAAATAAAAAAATTTTACAGAGTCCGCCAGGGCGGTTGACAACAAGAGAATAGCTGTGATGAAAAATGGTCAACTGATTGTTCGGCAAAACTCTGATCACGGTCAGTTCGAAAGATATGTGGCAAATATCTGTAAGATTTATGGGGTGGTCCGGAACTAGTCACAAGCAGATCAATACACAACCGGAACGCTCACGCACATTAGCTGAGCGCTTCGATGGCATCTGGTACAAAAGGACACGAAAGAGTGAATTTTGAATCTTCCGCAGCAACGTCGGGGAAATCCAGATTCGTGGGGAAAGGGAAAACCAGATTTAGGGAAAGGGAAAACCAGATTCTATGGAAAAAATTTAACAGAAGTCAGGTTCCACTGGAAACACGGGAAAAAGAGATTTTAAAGGTTTACCGGGAAAATCAGAGGCCAAATTTGATACGCTGAAAAAGGAAGTGGGCACGGCTGTTCAGATAAAGTGTCAGCAAGAAATGGGTTTTGGTGCAAGAGAGGGGAAAAAAAGGTTCCCCAGCACTGCCCGAAAAATTTTGAAAAAAAATTTAAATTAAATCCTGAACTTTTAAGAAAATTTAAATTTTGACATAACAAATTTGGGAAAAGATCTTAAGTTTATTAATTTTTAAACGGTTTTTTGAAATCAGAAATTAGTAGTAATGTAAGAAAATAAATGATATATATTCACAAAGCGATCAAACAAGATGAAAGAAATTCTATGACTGTAAGAATAGTTTAAACGATGACATACACTACTCAACTCTGAAAAAGAGTGAGACTAAAAGGATAGGAGCACCACACTAAATACTGTATTCCGGTACATACCGGACAAGACGCTTGAATGATTAAATTCTAAAATCTCGCCGTTTCAACCTTACGGAATGAACTTTAAAACGTCTAATTCATGCTTTTCAAAACAGATTTATACACAATAAGGAATGAAAAAATTGTGATAATCAGGGAGAAAAAAAACATATTTGTCTATTTTGTGATCATGATTTCTGCAAGCGTCTAGAGGTACTGCTCCAATCCCTGTATTGAGTAAAGATGAAAAGGAAATTCTGTGAATTGTAAGAATAACTAATCTGTGAGATTCACTTATAATCTCTGAAGAGAAAAAAAAAAAGACAGACTGTGATGTTAGAAATATAAGTGGGGATATAACTTAACACTGAACTTAACAAGCTGTGATTGTGTATGGAGGGAGAAGCCAATTTTTATATACTTTTATTATGAGATGGCTTTCATGTTGAAAGTTTTTTTCTTCATTTTTTTATCGTATTTTATTAAGATATATGTTTTTCTTCAGTTACATACATAAAGAAGTAAGAAAAATAGGGTTGCCAAGCGTCTTGAGAGCAAACAATGTACGCATCACCTTTTGGAGTTGAGTTCTGCCACTTTTGATTCTTTAACGTGAGGATGCTATTTTAAGGTTTCAATATCTTCTATTTCTAAAACTGTGTAGATATATTTCTTTAAACCCTTAACCATGGAGCTTGAACCAAAACGAATTTGCCTTTGCCACCAGTGTGTAAAACCAAGTCAGCCTGGACATCCATGCGGTCTGACA